GACCTTACTCTCCTTATAAGTCCACCGTTTTTATAGAAATGTGTCCAATTCGTTTATCGTTTGGTCTCCGAGCTTAAAGCGTTCTTTAACTGTTTCTAAAAGCTCAGCTCACTTGGGTATATAAGTAGATTTATATCATCGGATACCGGTGTCCTTCTGAAAGTTAAAATTTATTTTACATTTCAACATTATAATATTGTAATATAACAGGCACGTTGACGGGAGTCACTGATCTTCGAAAATAGAACCGAATCGAATATAGGTACCGGAGAACAAGGCGTACCTTGCCCTGACAATTATTTACACTGTTTTTGCAGTTGGCAATACGTTTGTAAAAAACGAAAAATACAATGAGTCGGCAGACAAAATATTAGTGTAAATAATGTGTCAGTTCATCGGGATACACCCTGTATTTATATATTTAATTTTTTTTTTATCACTATTATTGTTACACTCATAATAAAATAGTGCTATGTGTACACAACGCTCAAACACACGGTGTAGTATATAAAAAATATAATCCGTATCGCATTGCACCGACTGCTTATATATTGTTATGTTTACCCAAGTCCTAAAGCGTACATACCTATATTATAATCAATAGCTGTATCAATATACCAACGCGCAATCAACTCGAACTTAGCGCGGTTCGATCACGGAATAGCGTTGGGAATATTGCAATATTTAATATAATGTAAAAATCGCACAAACACTCTCACAGTAAACTCTAGCACTCTAGCGTTCTCGAGTAGTCACGATGACCCTTCGAGAAAGCAGCAACTGAAGTGTTTGGGTGTGATACAACAGCGCAGATAAAGGCTAAAGGGTGCAGACCTTGTTTGGATTTATAATGCAATAATAACTCAATGGTTGATTGACAAGTTTTGTCAGCCAAACGCCAAAAAAGGCACTTATTGTGTGTCCTAGGAATCTTATCGCCAAAACCGACACTTACATTCTTATCATATAAAATGGTCGTGGTCATCCATACTCCTCTGGGATCCAGGAACGAGACGATTGTGGAGTCCATCACAAGTCTCCCCTGCCAACGTTTAACCCTCATGATAAATCAATGAAATATTCCCCATCAGCTGACCTTCAATTGCCAACATAATTCTCTCGTTTTGGGCTGATTCTATTGTATTAACAAATCATCAGTTTGTCCTCTCTTGTCCTCTATCATAGAGGCATCTCTATTGTAATTGAATCGTTTTATTATTAGATCATTTTCTCATATAAATGGATCAATCGTCAACAGCTGTGGACCAACGAATCATTTTATTAACAGCTTCTTCGCCAGCCAAAATGGATCTTAATTTTTCTCCTTTCAGTTGTTTGTTTTCACAGTGTTTTAGATGTGCATTCGAGTGTCCTTCAATCACGGATCAGCTCTGGTCTACATTTTTTTTTCGCTATATTTTTCCAATAATTCCTATTATATCGGTGGCCAGGTTCATGAACTCTGTATGGTTAAGTCCAGTCCGTGAATATAAATCACATGGCCAACGTGAGACCAGCGGAGTCCTGTTAAATAAGATTCGATAGCATTTAAAATCGTTTATTTTCTGTGTAGTTTTCATTCTCCAACCGGTGTAATTATTAGTGTTCGCTATATAATATGATCGATAACATTTTACATTTATAGCTATTATTATTATGCGGGTACTATAAACGGTATTTTTTATTATTTTTTTAATAAATCTTAACGTTCAATGTATTATCATAAATAGGATGTGTTATTATAAACTACATATATTATAAAGCATATTAACTAGGCGGTCTCGCACGCGGATATTTGGAGGAATAAATCGTGTAATCCTCTATTCCACTAAATGGACAGACCCGTGATGGTCATGAATTTATTGTCTTACCAAAGCACGTGCCCCAGTGTGCGTGTATAGAACCGTAATATTATATATATTATTCATTATACATCACGGACGGCGGTCACAAATTATACGGTTAGGTTGGCATTTTACTACACGGCTTATTACATGTTATGAGTGCGTTCGATTCGTATTAGTTAGTTTAGGGGATGGGCGTGTGACCTTATGTATAACCCCATCGTGTCCGAGGAAAAAAAAATGTCCAGGTAAACATGACCCGAGGAAAATATGTCCAAGCACAAAAAAGTCCACGAAAATTATATGGCCAAACACAAGTCTTAATAGCTATAACACATAAACAACAAAGCTATATTACCACCGTTACAGCATACAAGCTAAATAACTACCATTAGGAGTAATACAAATAGGGTTTTTCAATATCTTCTTCATATTTTCTATTGCCCATAACAATAACAATATAGTATATTTTTAATATCACTATATTTTGCTAGGAAGAATAACAAAACATACAATATAATATTAAAAATAATATTTATCGTACATAATTGTATCATATTGCACTTTTACACTGACTAAATGTAATATGAAACATATAAAATAATCAAAATGTATTATTAATAAAAACAACCATGAGATATTGTTACAAGGTAAATAATTTTTTTTTTTTTTGGACATTTTCACCCATGTACACACTGTATTACATGCATACAGCCAAAAGCAGAGACAGGAAATTACTAAAAATAAAAACTTGTATTTAATTACAAATTACATCTTAGTAAATTGATAGTATTTACTCTTATGAGATCAAAGATATAAACTAGAAAAATGCCAAATCATACAACTGAACAAAATCGACAGGTCTTTTGTAGTCACTTATTTATCGGCCTGGTTGCATTTCTAAAAATTACAATACATTGTCTTCTCTTGACCAACCCCGAACCGTCTCAATTTAATTCTCTCTTTCCTTTTCCCGTTTTTATCAAAACAATGTGTGTACAAGTATAATTATTATTGTTATTCACAAAGCAAAGTGTTATTGATATAATCAATTAGACTCATAATAACAGGAATACCAAGGAGGAGGATGTGACCCGTCGGTAACACCTCAGTGGTTCGTTAAAATACAAAATACCTACCTACTATTGTATGCATGTATTTTTTTTTTTATGTTTGTAAATCGCGGTTTTGGTTATGCTTGAGTGTACGCCGTGGACTTTTTTTTGGGGAATATTATAAAATACATATTGTCTAAGTGGATGACAGTGATATTTTTTTTTTTAGCTCGCCATGATCTTTGCTTAGGCATTGAAACGTTTACCTAACATCGCCTGCAATTGAATACACATACAAATTAAAATCTAGCCGGTTCGAGTACGCCATTAAATTGAGAGAATTAAATAGAAGAACACATAATCTCCATCCTGGATAATGTAAACATGCATGTAGACAACTGTTGTACAAACTAAACGATTTAGGTAAATATATATTTTTTTTATTTATCATAATTATTACATAACGTGATTTAAAAAAAAAATCCAGTATAATGAGAACCGAGAATATTACTATGTACTCACTTATGAAATTTATTATGACTGGAAATGATAAAAGTTTCCACAAACGAATCTGTAGATCGTAAAAATATTAAACACCAATTAAAAAAAAAAAAAACCAATACCAAGTTTGTGTCGTTAGTTGTTCAATAAAAAAGGAAAGACAAGTCTCATAAAAAAAATAACCACACACATTAGAACCGTCTAAATACCGAATGTTATGTCCAAAACCGCGCCTTTAAAAGGGAAATAAAGAAAAAGTTATTACCGCGCCTAATAAGGTTAATGCACTGCCACATTGCCTTTAACTCGACAAGTAACACGACAGCGTACCGTTTTTTTTTTTGTCACCTTCAAACGCATAAACAAGTGTAATTTTTTGAAATATTTTTTGTAAGTTAAAAATCTGAAATTAAAAAAAACAAAATAATTGACATAAAGCACTTTTTTTTCCCCTATAATTTTCGCGCAGGCCCTTCGACAGTCCGGTCCATATGCATTGGCAGAGACCCTCCCCTGACTTGGGATACTAAAAACATTAAGACTTAAAAAATTAGCACTTTTCCAAAATACCCACAATTATTTATTAACGAGAGAGCGCTAATTTTTAAGTTTTATGATTTTTAGAATCCCAAGACATCCCCCGCCCCTGATCTCGGCCAATGTCCATATATATATATATATATCCAATGTCCATGGAGATATCCAATGTCCATATGTCTGTACCATCCCCCTACCGGTAGTCGAAACCCAAACAAAACCACAAATACCAATAAACGCGCAACGGGCGGACGCGACGCGACGCCTGGAATACTGGAAACCGCGGACACCGCGAGGCTGTGAGAAGTGTAACGTCGGCAATTTGGATAATAATAATATTATTATTATAAGGAAGACCCGCAGCCGCCGCCGACGTAGGGTTTATAACCCGCGCTCGTATTAGTCGACGGTAGCCGGCCGCCGCCGCAACTATAGGTTCCCACAGTCTTGCAGTGTGTATATATATATATATATACTATATTATATGTATATAATAATGTAATATTATTATTACTATATACACCGCACCAGCCGACCGTGGGAACCGGCGAGTTCGCCTTGAAATCGTCCGTCTCTCGCGCCTCCTCCCTCCACCCTCCCGTGGACCATCGCCGGCCACCACGCCGTATACTATACGCGGATAGTCCCAACGCCGCCGCCGTCACCACCACCGCCATCATCGCCGCGGCCGCCGATTCCAGGCATGAATGGTTTTATGCGGCGGCGGCGGCCGTCGTCGTCGTACGCACACACACACACGTATACGCCAGAGAGCGCGATATCGGCGGCGTCCCCTGCGCGTCGCGAGACCCAGGGCCACGTCACTAACCCGCCGCCGCGCCGCCACCGCCGCCTTCCCATCGCGACGATACGCATAGGCTCCGTCCACACAAGTGTGGAATGTTCCCACGGATCCCATTGGTCTGCCGTTACCGCCTCGCGAGTCCCTCTTTTTTTCCCTACCCCCCGTCGCCCGTCCGTTTGCGCTTCACCCTGTCCGCGTACCCACCCCGTCCCGTCCCGACGCTTTCCCGCTCGCGCCGTTTACACGAAATCACACAAAATTATCATCGTATACGTATATAATATACATATATATATATATTCTTCTAGGAGAGACACCGATCTCCTCCTCCTCCTGTTCGTCAACCCTCACTCCCACCCGTCGGTTTCGCGCGCGCCCGTTTTTCAGCGTGCCGAGGGCTACCTCTATAGTATCTATGCGTATTCGGTACTCACTAACACTCGGTCTACCGTCGCGGCTCAGTCGTTCCGATCACTCGGCGGCCGTATCACGCGTCAAGCACACCCGTTCGCGTACCGAAATATCGTCGAGCACAGAAGCGCGCGCACGTGTTCCTCGACGTTTGTTTATGTTTTTTTTAAAGTTTTTTTCTTAAGACATTTCTACTTAGAACCAAAAACGATTTGTTTTTATCGTTTTCGACCAACCGGAAATTAATTTCGAATATTAAATTTCCTTGAACCCGTCAATAACACTCGAGGTAAATATTACTGATTATCACTTTAATCTATTTAAATACTTAACTTCTATTGTGTTAGGCTTGAAAAGTAAAACAGTTAAGTTGGACCAGTTTAACGTCAATCATTTTACATAGAAATACCTATTTTAAACGGTGGTCGAATCGATCGACTCAAATTTAACAATTTTAATTATTACTTAGAAAAGTTTGGTGGTCATATACTATTGTCTTGTCATGTTGGAATTTACCCGATTTAACAGTATTTAAACTAATTGTGTAACTACAGACTTACTACCCTTTTTGGCCTGTACATACCAGTACATAGTATTTATTGTACCTACTGACTTAAATGCATCAGAATTACTAATGTTAAATTTTTTGGCCTCTTAAACGCCTGTTTGAGGGGCCAAAATTGAGTTAAATGGGTACTTATTCCTAAAAGAAAAGGTACACACTAACATACCGTACTTGGTATAGACATTACAACAATATGATTAAAGTAGTATTTAAATATACTTAGGATTTGTTAAAATTGTCCATTCGAGTTGGGCACATGGGTCTCTAACTGGAGGGCTGATAGCAGTTTAAAAGTGCTAATTAAATTACTATAAATCGAAGGCCTTTAGGGTACAGACCTTTTGACTTTTGACTACCTTCCACACTGGATTTCACGTTCAAACATAGGTATCATATTTTTCCTAAACGATATCATTTAAGTATCGTACATCACATTTGACGGCACTGAAAATTCATTTGTATGTTTAATTTTATTGATTTCTGTCCGGACTATACTATTCATGCGAAAATCTTTTCTCAGTCCTCTTGATGCGGATATAGTGATAACTTTTATGAGCGTTAAAATATAAGTATATAACAATACATAAATTATTTATAAAGAAATACATAAACCTCGACGTGTACGTCATGCGATTTTTGATCCGACAGCGATGTGCTTTGAATATAGTCACCCTTTCTTTTGTTTAAACCGACCAAAGGGGTGAGCTAGAGCAGTACTCAAAACTGTCGATCCCAGTATAAAAAATAATCAAATATTAAAAAAAAAGGCCTAAGACTGTCGACATAGATCAAACAAAGGGCGGGAAATTCGGAGACGGAGACCCAAACAAACATGACATATACATAATTAGGTCTCTGAAACGTCTGGGGGGAAATCAATAAATATAATATTTACTCAGACGGTTCACGGCCACTGTTTTCACACAGAAGCCGAATATTCGTTTTGCTTAAGTATAAGTAGGTATACTCACAAAATACCGAGGGGTGCGATTTCGCTAAAAAAAAAAATGCTAAAGTAATAACCGTTTAAAATTATTTTTTTTATATATATTATATTAATTTATACTTATTAAAATAAATTACATAATCATAATTGAAAATAGTATAATATAGTGACGTTGTTTGTTTGGTTTCCTTATTATTATTTTTTAATACTGTTTAAAATTCATAATTTTAATTTTTCTTATTGTTGTTGTTATATAATAGAATAATAGAAGATTTAAAAACTTTTTAACGCGCATTTCTTTATATGAGTTGTTATTGCGTTTGTTTTTACAACAATCGTTGTTTCATTTAATTTGAACTATTCGACACCAAAACGCAATACATTACCATCAAATAATAATTGTATTTCTAAAATCTGAGTCATTAGAACCGTGTGGATTTATGAAATTCAGTAATCCTATAACTTTTTTAAGGCAAAATAAAACCCTTTAAATACCATGGCGATAGACAGATACGGTTTGGTTAAAAAACAAATTTAGCAACGCATACCTGTTGTATCACATTCTAATATTAGATGGACAACTGTGATGTGGTAAGTGTGGCGTATTTTGTACATTTTTAGAGATAAGTCAAAAAAACGTGTTCGACACTGTCGGTGCTTTTTTTACTAACAATTAATTATTATTTTTGTATCTGTTAAGTACCTATGAGTGACCCTCGAGGCTGCCTCGGGACAACCGCACAGCTATTACTCAAGTGCTAAGGCACAATATGGTGCGATTTGTAATAACCGTCACAACACACACACACACCGACCCGTTTGGAATGTTTTTTTATTTATTTTTTTTTTTGAAAGCGAGTACTCATCTCCGATTTGGCCCGAACGGTCGGTCATGTGTGTGTGTGTGTGTCGATAGGTATTATTATTATTATTACTATTATACTAAACGGGTGCGCAGGTAACTATTATGTAGGTATTGTTGTGTCCAAAAAAAAATTAAAAAAACTACCAAACAAACAAAACTCGAACGGGAAACTTAACTAAATAAATAAACGGTCCCTCGCCCAAAATCAATACCGTCGGCCTTCAAACGGCAAGAGATGGTGGCGAGAGTGTGTGTATGCCATATGAGTTTGTCACTTGTCTGAGTATAAAATAAATTGTTATTGTTGTTATTAAAAAATCACACACACACACACACACAAGCGGTTAAAGCTCTGACCTAGGTTAAGTCTGCATGCAATACTAATACAATACAGTTTGTGTGTAGGTATTATGAAATATCACATTGATTTTTATATTAACCAAACCGAACGGACAAACCGTCATTACAACCAAATATACGACCAATAACATAACTGAGTAATTTATAGTTTAACGGATCAAAAGATGTCGGTAAAGTCTTAAAATGCAGTTAACCAACCTGCTGTTTAGAATGTCTGTTTTGCTACCTATTGCTCACCGACTCATTTAACCTGTGTAAAAATATGTAATTTACTGAACAGGCTGATCGAGAATAAACGCCAGCTACTAAATTACTAGTTAGTCCTTTATGGGAATCGAAAATAAAATCAATTAGGTATACCGTCGAATAGATAATTAATTCCAAACCGGTCGGAATAATAACCGAGGTGTATATAAATTTTCAATTAAAAAATAATAATTTAAAAACACTCTAGACGGGAAGGGAGCAAAACGACAGTCCTAAACAGGTCTGACTTTCTTATGATAGGTATCTGACCACAACGCGTGTAATTAAAATACATCTAAATAGAGTATTATTTTAGTTGTTTGATCAGACGTTACCCGTGTTTAACATGGGCTATATAAACTTGTTATACGACAGTTTGTATTTGTCAAAAAATCCAGCGGAATGCACCTCGAAAAATGTTTGGACCTGTTTGAAATGTATTACCAGTCACTTAACCACGCTTGATCGGTGTACACTATTTTGGTTTTAAATTACAACACTGACAAGTAAACAACAAAAAATCTTTATACTGTCACTTAACGCGCACCCCTTAAAGAATGTAATATAATAACGTCGACGTTTGTTTGCCAAGAGTTCAAACGAGATTAGCCTTATCCGCTTGCGCTTAAGTGTGTAGTTTGTATTTTTTCAAAAGGGCCGATACCATTGGAGAAGTTATCGAATTGCTGATATTTATACATCTGAAATGCTCATATCGACCGACCAATATAGTTTAAATACAAAAACAATTTTGTGGTCTACACGGTGGTGTTTAGGTACAATATGCTATAATAATTGTCGTAAAAAAAACCAAGGGAAACCACTGTAATATTTTCACTCCAAGCCAGGGAGGTTGGTTGCCACCGAATAAAGAGAACTGCAATAGACCCCAATCGTGTTGGACTGTTGTATAATACAGTGCAATCACGAACCGTGCAAATGAATCGATTATTTCCACCCTTGGTCCCGGCAGTCGTGATCGACGGTTCGATCGGGTGCGCGTGGGTCGTTTCCTATCCGGGGGGGATAGGGCGTGAACCGAACAAAATTACTTATATAAAACGCTTATTGTTGTTAGGTTTGCACGTGTGTGTGTTAAATATGTAAACAAGTGGCCAAAAAGGGGGAAACGTACAGAATTATAAATTGCCAACAGCGAGGAGGGCTACAAAACTAATTTCGGCCAAGTATATATATTTTCAGTAGGAAACAATCTTGTTTTCGCGGTCTAGTCAAAAAGATGGATGCTTTGGACACGGTAGTGCGTAATTGAAGTGTCCGAGTATATTGCGGCTGGTAAACAATACATGTCTTCAAGTCCTATAACGACATCAATCAGCTCGACTCTTAGCTCGGATATTCCACGCCAACCCTCTCTTTCCTATTAAATTCCCAGATCGTCTCACCTATTTTATCTTATTTTTCTGCTATCGGCTCAACTCAAAAAATGTATCTTAGACACCCATTCTTAATTTTAACCGACCTTGTCACCTCAAAGAAATGTGTTAAAATACAAAATTCATCTCGACCGTTTTATTCGATAACTAACTATGTAATACTTTGTCTAATTTGGAATTTTCGATTATTTTTTTTTCCTTTAGATTTATGGGAACCTGGACGCTGAAATCGGAGAAAGATGGCGAAACGGAAGACGGAGAGGTGGTGAGCACGCTGAGCTGCTATAACTCTGCCGAGCTGCTGGGTGTGCCGGCCAGAATGCCTCACAATTACGGACCGGAAGCGCCCATGCAGTTCCGGCCCGAGCAGAGACTGACCCGGGACGCGATGGAGAGGTATCTACGGGACCGCAATGACCTGGTGCTGGTGATTCTACACGCCAAGGTGGCGCAGAAGTCTTACGGCAACGAGAAGCGGTTCTTCTGCCCACCGCCTTGCATCTACCTGTTCGGCGATGGCTGGAGGCTCCGGCAAGAGCAGTTGCTCAGGGAGGGCGTGTCCGAGGGCAACTCGCAAATAAGCGCGTTCATCGGCATCGGCAGCAACGACCAAGAGCTGCAGCCGCTCGACCTGAACAACGGCAAGCAGTACTGCGCCGCCAAGACGCTGTTCATATCGGACTCGGACAAGCGCAAGCACTTCATGCTCATGGTGCGCATGTTCTACAACGTGGGCTACGATATCGGTACGTTCCACAGCAAGCGCATAAAGGTCATATCGAAGCCGTCCAAGAAGAAGCAGTCGCTGAAGAACGCCGACCTGTGCATTGCCAGCGGCACCAAGGTGGCGCTGTTCAACCGGCTCCGGTCGCAGACGGTGAGCACACGGTACCTGCACGTGGAGAAAGGCAACTTCCACGCCAGCTCGACGCAATGGGGCGCGTTCACCATACACCTGCTGGACGACGACGAGAGCGAGAGCGAGGAGTTCAACGTGCGCGACGGGTATGTGCACTACGGCAGCACGGTCAAGCTGGTGTGCAGCGTCACCGGCATGGCGCTGCCCCGGCTGGTCATCCGCAAGGTGGACAAGCAGATGGCTCTGCTGGAAGCCGACGACCCGGTGTCGCAGCTGCATAAGTGCGCGTTCTACATGAAGGACACCGAGCACATGTACCTGTGCCTGTCGCAGGAGCGCATCATCCAGTTCCAGGCGACGCCGTGCCCCAAGGAACCCAACAAGGAGATGATCAACGACGGCGCGTGCTGGACCATCATCAGCACCGACAAGGCCGAGTACCAGTTCTACGAGGGAATGGGCCCGGTCAACTCGCCCATCACGCCCGTGCCGGTGGTGCACAGCCTCAACCTGAACGGTGGCGGCGACGTGGCCATGCTGGAGCTGACCGGCGAGAACTTCACGCCCCACCTGCAGGTGTGGTTCGGCGACGTCGAGTCCGAGACCATGTACCGGTGCCAAGAGAGCATGTTGGCTGTCGTGCCCGACATATCGTCGTTCAGGGGTGACTGGCTGTGGGTCCGGCAGCCCACCCAGGTGCCCGTGTCGCTGGTCCGCAACGACGGCATCATCTACGCCACCGGACTCACGTTCACGTACACGCCCGAGTCCGGCCCCCGGAACCACGTGCAGAACACGGACGAGATCATGCGTGCGCAACACTCGCACGGACGGCTGCAGCCCATGCAGACCGACGTGCACTGGGACCAACACCCGTCCAACATCAAAGACTACCAATGACGTCACGACAATCACGCCTTTGACCGGAGCCAACAGTGACGTCATAGGTCAGAAACTCGCAGAAAACCCAAACAAAACCCGGTCGTAAAGACGTAGGTACTTTAATCTTTGTACTTGTGTGTGTGTACTTAACTTCTCTTCCTAAACACAACGACACGCAAGCCGCAAACAGATCTGAAAACTTAAACTTTCAAGGTGCTCGATGCCGTCCCGAGTTCGGTTTGGTTCGGCGACTGGATATTTTTGTATACTTTATATTGTAAGCTATGTCTTAGGCTATACTTACCAAACGAGATATAGACTGCGCGCTGGACAGGGATAGATGGTTGTCTAATTAACGTGTAAAACGACTAAGTTTGCAAAGTGTAACTTTTCATGGAATTTTAATCATAAAAATTACATATAGCTTTTTTTTTTTCTTATGGCCACAAAAACGTTACCCTCATAGTACCATAGTATGTGACCACGAGTCAACAGGTCTGTGGGTTAGGAGTCATATTTGTGCAATTTTTATAAAACTTTTGACATTGACCAGATTGTGGTTGGATAATAAAAATAAACGTGACTTGTTCGCTCAAATTAAGAGACGATTTTCAGCGGATTCACTCGGTTGACAGTAAAAAATAAGTGGGTTCTATATTATTATTATCAATCACGGAATTCGTGCATCGCAGTGTGATTGTAAACATTACATCGTCGACAGACATTATTTTCTAATTAAAATCGTGCTGAGAAACCCAACCTAACCAGCGCAATGCACAAAAAATATGTGATTAAAAAATTAATATACTTAAAAAATTAAACGCAACAAAATATGATATTATGATGTAACGTGTTCTGTTTGTCGCTTTCAAATAATAGGATAATCGCAAACGTTGCGGGAAAGTACAGAAGTTAATTAATTTTTCGTGGGAATTTCTATTTTTATATAAAAAAAAACCAAATAACGTCTATTTCTCTGTTGTTCACAAAGACAAATATATTTTTTCGTGAACAAAAAACCACACAAAGGGTTTTTGAAGACAAGTCAGGCGCGCAGTCTAGTTCTCGGTGTTGTATGTTTTTTGGTCGACCACTTTGTTTTCATCGTTGGTTCCATCGCTATCGACTGATTCTATTTACCTATGTTTATACACTCACTTCACCCCACCAAGCAGTAATAATATTATCCTACGGTTAGGTTAGGTGAATTTTACACGAGAACGGTTTGTTTTTCCTCTCCACTTCACCCCTCTCCTTACCCTTCTTTTTTTCATCCCTCGCTTTTTACCTTACCAGTGAACACAGTATTCGTGTACATACGGTTAATGCCAAAGACATAATATTATAATGTATTATATTATAGTGTATGGTAATATTAAAATGTTAATACACTATTCTCAATATCATTATTATTATACATATATAATATATTTTGTTTAGTTCTTAAAACGGTTGTGATCTATTTTTTAGAACATATATTATACATATTAATATATATAAATATATATATTTTTTTTGTTATTCTTCTGTTAAGCTTTCTTCTCTATACGTGTGCACGCACCAAAACCAATGTAATTTTACACCAGTAATATTATGATATTGGTTGTGGCAATCTGTGTAAACCTAAATCTATAACTATATCCAATCGGTTATAATATTATAATATAGGTACATTATATTTTTTATCACTGCGTTATTATTATTTTTATTTTTTTTTTCTTAATTAGGCGCCTATATTATGTATTTTCGGTATCTTCTTCAATGTGGTTAATCCTTCTAGCCCCCCCCCCTCGCCTTCCCCATTTCTAACCCCATAACATTATGTTTAGCGTGTTATAAAATGTTATGCAATGTGTATTTAAAAATGATTATTATAATAAATTATTATGTATACGCATGAACGCTGTCTTGTGACAAACCAGTATTAAAATATAAATTGTAAATAAATACTGTACAAAATATAAACATTTGATATTGATAGGTATAATTATTATTATGAATGTATGAATTGAACAAAAATATATATTATATTTATAACTAATGAAAAAAAAATATGTTTATTTAATATTTTTATTACCTATAAATTTCACGGTTCCAACACAAACTATATTTTTCAGTTGTTTTGTCGGTGGTTTTTGTGCCTGAGGTGCCAAATCGGTATAACACTATGTTAACGAATAATACTAAAGCAGAAAACAAATTATAAATAATACAATTGATTTGAAAGTTATCAATAATGCCAAAAGTGGTCTTAGCTTCTGATATAGAACTTGAGTATCGCTAACCAACCTTTTCAAAATCATTAAAATATAATAACCTTGTTAAAATAAACAAGTACCGCAATATTAGCAGCTGACAGTCATTGTTTAACTTTCTTTTTGAAATACAAAAGTACTACAAGAGTGTTTAAATTATTAAAACATTTGAAAAAAAAACATAAATACTATTAGCATCTTATTATCTACTTATTTTCAAATCTGCCGAACTTAGCTATTTCCAGAGGTGGACACTACTTGAATTTTTCAATGAATATGTATGTAAATTATTCTCTTAACTTTCTTTGGGCTAATGTCCTTCCTATGCTATTGAAAGCTCATTGAACGAGAAGCACCAAATCCTCTTCAACTCTATAAATGTAGTTATTGACTAAGACTGACTACTTCTTCGGCCTCAACACTCTTTTAGAATGTAAACCACACCACTAGACAGTGTCTTCTACTCATCTAAAAGTCATGTTTTGCAAAAAGCAAAACTATTCACAGCCGACGTCAACTATTTTGATAAATTATTAAATTGCTAACCTGTTTGAAATTCATCAGTCACAAAAATAGATTTTCAGACATAATCAAGTCAACAAAAACAAGAACAGAAATAAAATAATTTCAAGTATACCGTAATTACAACTACCTCGGCATTCTGACATGTTATATTTGTAAAATACAATTATTTTATTATTGTACAAGAATAATAATACGAAAACAGTATTATTATTGTGTTATAATTACCGCAATTGTTTTTTTTGTTCTATTTTTTTTTTTAACCGCATATAATATGACCGGAGCAAACCTTTCACACGGTAATTATTATGTACACAACATGACAATAAAACATGATGATGAGAAGAATATTATAAGAACGGAAGAGAAAAAACCAAGTGATGGCATTTCATTGGGTATCCGCTAAAAAAACGCACCTACTTGTATAAGTTTATATGTATATTCTACGGTTAGTGGTAATTTTTAATATCCCCGATACCTTTTATGAAGTCATAATAATTCATTTTGAATTTCGTGGATTTGGCGGCTGTTGCAAAAATGGTCAGTTGTCAAGGGAAAAATTTCAAAATGAAACAATATTGTACCTAGTCTCTTACTAAACGTAGCATTCGGTATACTTGTTACCTGCGTTTTAATATGTATTTTATTCAAGTTTTAACAAAATATATTAGCAGAGATCATTGAATTGTTTGCCCAGAAATTTTGCCACCATCATAATATTTCTCACAGACAAATAGTAAAAATAAAAATGTTATTGAATGGTAAAAATGGGCATTGAGTTAAGTAAATAGTTCTCAGTTATCAGTTATCATTATCACTTGGTATGTGGTTGGCGCGTGGTATATGGTTACGTCCATTTACCGCTTATGATAATGATGGTTCTGTCTTAACGAATCAACAACACTTTTCAAAACAATAAATAATCAAATTCAGAAGTACATAATATTATTTTCCATGATAAAATATTTTTTATGTTATTTCTAATGGTAACTTAAATGTTTAACGAGAATGCCAAAGGGAAAAATAATAATATTTTTCTCGTGGTTTTCCATAAAATATCCACTAATACAAGCGATTTATAACGCCTTAAAAAATAAACGTGTAAGTTCAAGTTACAAAACATTGACTTTTGTTTTTTTTTTATCATGTAACATATTTCTTTTTTTTAATTCAGGTTAGTTTCGACTATAAGTTACTCTAGTAAGTTATAATCAAAAGTTTATTATAAGTTTTGGTATTCATGGAATAATCAGTTGGAAATAATTCAAAATCCATTATCACATAATACTAAAACACTACACAATAGTTACAATAAAATTATAACATTTTTAAAATGTCAACTGAAATTGTTTTACTTTAATATGTTAACAACAATATTGTGTTTTTAGATACAGAAAAGATACATAATATTTTGATGAATTAATAAAATAATATGATCCGAAATTTGATTAGACCTGGGCAATTTTCTTTTAAGCTACAAATAATAATAAATTATTTGAAATATACACCTATTACTTAAGAGAGCATCTATCATTTTTTATTTAAATATATTTTTGTGTTGATCATAACATATAATTTACCGTTTCAAATAACTGGTTTTAAAATAATAAGTAGTTTTTTCTGTATTTTAAATGTAAGTATAACATAGACGGCCGAACTACGTCTTAAAATCTACTTCCGGTTATTAGAGAATGAATTATGCAATAATAATAATGCAGTATAATATTTATAAATTTAATTTACTTTATTTTTTCAGTTATTATTTTAATATAACCTAATTTTTGCATTTTTTATTTTTTTGTCGGAAGAAAATACTATTTGAATTAATTAATAAAATTATATTTAAATAAATTATACGTGTTGATTAAATTAGTTTTAATACAAATCTATTTGAACCTTTTTTGAAATAAAAACAAAATTTATTAATTTATTATTTGAGTTTTTAATTCATACAAACCTTTAGAACAATTTCATTAATTATTGGTTTTAATAGAGAACTAATAACTTGTTTAATAATTAAATTGATTGGCCCAATATCGGTTTATTAAACCATTTCAGTTTGTGCAACTCATCAAAATTATTTTATTGACATGTATAATTTAAATAGCTATTAAATGATGTTAAGTAATCAAATCAAATTACAAAATATCAAAAAATAATATATGCTTTGTGTGCTTCCCAAATGAATATTTTTATTTCATTTTTCAACAAGCTATAAAAAATATCTCTAGTCTTGAATTAGCTTAAACAAATATATCAGCTGCATTTAGATAGTCGCATACTCCAAATTCAGATGTTTTTGTTTTAAACATGAAAACGAGGTTCCTTGTTTATATTTAGATAGGCAACTCAACACACTTTTCTGCACTTTATATTCCCTAATAAAAATCCATTGGACGAGTGTTACGATCAACAATTTTCCTATTCAATTTTTAAACAGCGATAAAATAAATTGTGTCTTTAAAATTTCAAAATCCAATTAAAATAGCTACTCATCATTATCATTCTGCCGAAGACCATAATATTTTTGTGAACATATATTTACACGATAGAATACAGTTAAGTATGTTGATATTTTGCTATATGTAACAAACTATTTTCACCGTAATACAACATTATAATAATCTTGTTTTTGGTTTAGAGTTTACATATACATTTATGACTTTAACGACAACACTGTAGGTAACAAAATGCTTGAATATTGCGTTACAAATATATTAGTCAATTAATTTTATGTTGGGAATCCATGTTTGTTGGATTTGATCAAATTATTATAGTAACATCTAAATTCTAAACTTGGTCGTAAAAACTCTATAAAAAAATGTTACAACCAAGTTTTTCGCCATTACTGCTAGTGTAATTGAATTTCATTTTATATTCACCGTAAAATAATACCTTTGGATAATTATGATCCTTCAACTTTTCCATGTCTAATCCAGACGCCACATAAACTCCCTGTGTATGAAAATTATTAAAGAATATTGATAATTATACAACACGTTTATGTTCAACATTACAGGTTTTATTGGGCAATCACTCGCGTTAAATGCTTTAGTGAATTCAGAAAATGCATTTCCTAATAACCATTTCACTGTCGAATAAGCTGTGGTCGTCGTGTAAATGTAATAATTTTCGGCCCAACCTCCTATAGCACCTCTTTTAGCCAAATTTAGGGAAACCTATAAAGTATGAACACCTTTAATATATATATATATATATTTATATATATAAGTACATTAAGGTAGGGCCATATTAGAGCAGGGAGGTGACAAGTGTACAGGACTGATTATAACTGAATGTTATACAAAATCACTTTCAAAAAACGCTTCGAGGTGAATTTATAGATGGTATTTTACAGTGTTAAAAATAAATTCTTCAAATTTCAATTAAAGTGATAGTAATAGTGTTATTTTTTGCAGTCGCTTTTTAGAATGGACGTAAAGAATCATTACATTTATTATATGTGCAAAATATATGAACATCATAAAAGAAATTGTAATTTTAGATAGTAAAAGGATTACAAATGAAACGCGTCAAAGCGAAAATGTTCAAATATAAAAAATATACATTTAAAAAAAATTAAATTATTATTTAAAAAAAAACAAAAGTACTTACGAACATAGAATCGTCAAATGGAATTAAATATGTAAAATTTCCCTTTAATACAAATGCAGTAGCACTTGTCCTACTTACGTAGACGTTATACTGTAACTTAGCGTGTTCATAGTGCTCACATTGATCGGTAGCCTTAATTCTAAATTTGTATTCTCCCTAAAACGATTTCGAACATGGTTATTTTCCACTGGTGTTTTACAGGGTGCTTCGATGAGAAGAATACACTCATTTTATATTAAATTAATTGCAATTTTAGTGGTCTTACTTTTTTAGGAACGCTTTAACTTATGAATTAAAATTTATTATATTATATCATCCCAGAGCTCTAACATAAGTAAAAAGATTTTCAAAAAGAAACACTAAAGAATTGCAATTATTTTAAAAGATATTGACTGTCGTATAAGAATGATATTTATTTGACCCGTAAGGCAATAGAGTAGAAGTAAACAGACGAAATAAATTAACAAAATAATAAAATACAACTCGGTAAATAATAAAATTATTAGTTAACAAATAGAGGACGAAGAACATAATTTAGGACAAAATAATAGTTACCAAAACTAGTTAAAAGAATGGAATTTTTATTTAGAAATTCCTTAATTACCCTGTATTGATAAAACGGGTGATTACACGTTTACTTGACCAATTCAAAATTTAATTGGACAATGGTAAATACATTTGCTATATTAAGTAAACAATTTAAATATATGTTTCTATTGTTATTGCTACCACAGTCACGGTGATGTGTTTTATTTGCATTTATGATAGACTACAGCATTTATGATAGACATTTGGCTCATCACACAGCCTGTGTAATGAGCCAAATGTCTATCTGGGAATAATTTCTAAAGCATAATGCTTTTATAGTCTAAGTAGTGACGATCAACGGTCACACCTAGATGGCATCTACCCAATTGTACGGCCTGCGTTTAAATCTGATAGTGCTTTAGTACACAAACGCACATGAAATTTGTACACAAAACCGGTACCAATTAAAATTTGAATATTAATGGTAGTTATAACATTGAAATAGATGCCGCAGAGATCGGAAACAATTCAAAACAATTAAACAAATAATATTTCTATAACAAATGACTGACGATTTCTGTGGAAAAAATCCGATCGTAGTTGAAAAACCGTGTAATATAACATTTATAATATAATGTACATGAAAAATATGATAATTGTTCTTTTCTACAATCAACCTTTATATTGTTACTCTGTTTAGCAGAAATTTGTACAGGAAAATTTAAAATTCAACGTCACGAAAACAAACCAATACCAAATGCATATTTAATCATTCGTTCGAAGGTTTTTTTCAAAAAAAAATCCGTATGTTAACTGATATTCCTGTTGTTATTGCTACCGCATAAGATATGATCACAATTAAACGAATTTGCTACATGCAATGCAACTGTAGATTGATCTTGAAGTGATCGACTATAAAACTATTAGGTGATGGTCATTTAGCGGTTTAGTCCAAGTTCTAACGTTATTTGTCCACGGTCGATCTACTGTTCAACACTGTTTGAACATATAGTAATACATACAACCAGCAAGATGCTTCGACACAATATCATGATTTTGATTTATATTGAAATGATAACGGCACCAGCCACCAAACCTCCGACGTACTATCCAAATCTCCCAATGGTAATGCAAAAATTACCCGTTTTATCAATACAGGGTGATTAAGGAATTTCTAAATAAAAGTTCCATTCTTTTAACTAGTTTTGGTAACTATTATTTTGTCCTAAATTATGTTCTTCATCCTCTATTTGTTTACTAATAATTTATTTTTTTACCCAGTTGTATTTTATTATTTTGTTTATTTATTTCTTCTAATTACTTTTACTCTATTCCCTTACTGGTGTCAAATAAATATTGTTTTATTGCGCGCTACCTGGCTGTGATACAACATCTGTTTTGTTTCAAAATGAAAAAAAAAATGTATTCGGTCATTAAAAAAACAAAAAGATTTAAGTACAGTTATTTCCATGTATAATACTACATTATAATCCATTTTATTCACACAAAGAAATATCAAAATAATGAAATTTTAAGTTTCTTCCGATATGCGGAGCACCACAGAACGACATAACTATAAACAAACATAGATTTTAATATGTTCATAAAATGTTGAATAAAAAATATAATTTATCTGTCATCAGTATATTTCCAAATTTTATTATGGTTAGGTAATAAAAATTATCCAGAAAATGAGGTTTGAAATTTTAAAACGGTTTATTGTCTACAATTACTGAACTCAAATATCCTGCACCCAATAGTCTACTTAAATATATAACCTGTAACTGTATTGAAGGAGTGGAAAAAACGGGATTAAAGTTAAGAGAAGTTATCACTTTTGGTGATTATAATGTGACTACGAAAAATTATAATAATATGTACTTCTTATGAAGTTGAAATAATAATGACTATCAAGCCGCTAACTTGGCCAATGACAATGTATATTTATAGTTTTAATTTTTAATCGGTATAAATATCAATAGAAAATAGCCATCTTTAGAACAAACAAAATGTTGGAAAATAAGAAAAGAAATGTCCAACTGTATGCGAATTTAAGGATAATTACTAATATGTATATAACTTGACGTGTTTCTAAAATTTACATTGTTTTGCGCTATCTATTTTAATCAATGATAATATTATATTATCATGTCCAAGAAAAAAAAATGTGTTATTTGATTTGTGTTGTGTAAAACGTACATTGTTTAGAAACATCATGTGCCGTTTTTTTAATACACTGTATCCATTGAACTCAATATATTATGGAACGCGTATTGGCTGTAGTCGGCTGTTTATGGAAACGTCTACTTAGTAGAAGGCTGCCATTTTGTGAAAAGTTATTGTTTTGTCCATAATATCTATTGTTTTTTCTATGATTCAAATATATTATATATGACGGGGTTACCATCCCTAACCTAACTTTTTTATATGTATCATGGAAAAGTAACATAGGTAGCATTTTTACTTCCTATGAAATTGACACACAAAATGGCTCGGGACATTTTTCAATCTGAATAAGAGTAGAGAAAGGTGGGTAAAGCGGTCACCTTAAGGGAATTTATCGACTCAAACTTAGATTTTTTAATTTTTTTGTCTACTCACTAAGGGAATGTATACTTTGAGTTGTTAGACATCATTATTTGCATTAGAATTAAATTTTAGCTAATGATTTAATTAAGTTAAATTTGAACTTGTTAAATTGTTTAATTAAAATTTTTTTTTTTGTTTCAAATAGATTTTTATATAGTAGCCCTATAGTTTTATAAAATTGTATGTATTATTATAATATTCGCCGCATGGGTATCACAACATTTACTAACAACAACAATAATGCAAAAGAGGAAGTACCTTTTGATTACATATGTTTTATTAGAGAAATACAAAATTAATTTAGAAACATTCGATTGTGTTTAGCGTCAAATCGGGCTATGCTCAGAAGATCATTAAATTCAATTTGATAATTACAATACAATAATAAGATTATTTTATTGTAATGTGTTAATAAGATTAAGCGTTCCGAAGTTTAACCTAAGAGTCATTCTTCGTTTTAAATTAGTCACTTTAATCAAAACTGCAGCTATCTACTATGAATCAATAAACAACATTTTAACAATCTGTAATGTCATAGGCGATAAAGTTGATTTTGTTTATCGTAATTTAAATTATATTGAACGTGTTTCATGATAATGAAAGAAGCTGGGTGCAGTTTACCTAAAACAAGGTAATTTAAGCGCAGTTTACGTGCCTGCGTTTTAATCTGACAGTGTTTTAGGTAATTATGATATTGAAAAAAAAACCGCAGATATCGGTAACAATAGTAAAAACAATTAATCAAATATTTCCATAAAAAATGACTTTTATGGAAAAAAACCGGTCGTAGTTGAAAAACCGTGTAATAAAACATTTATATTTTATTGTACATGAAAAACATGATAATTATTCTTTTCTACATCAACCTTAATATTATTACACTGCTTAGCGGAAATTATTACAGGAACCTCTATAAAACTAAACGACGTGAAAACAAACCGATCCGATGAATCGATAACGATGCGTACTATTAAAACAATTTTGTTATTTATTCGATATGACTTTATTTCAAAAAATGCAATTATCTGTACGCTAACTGATATTTCTATTGTTATTGCTACCGCATTTGCGGTTATGTGTTTTGTTTGCATTTATATGTTTCCGAAATCCTTGATTTAACGACTAGGCCGTAAGATATGATCACAGTTATACGAATTTGGTAACTGCAATTTTCAACTGTAGATTGATCTTAAAATGATCGTCTGTAAAACTATTAGCTGATGGTCAATTGGCTGTTTAGTCCAAGTTCCAACGTTAGGTATTAGTCCACGATCGCTCTACTGTCGATCGACCCGATTCGTTCAACACTGTTTGAGTAATATACATACAACTAGCAAGATGATTGGACACAATATCATGATTTTGATTTGTATTGAAATGATCACGGCACCAGCAACAAAACCACCGACGTACTATCCAAATCTCCCAATGGTAATGCAAAAATCGCCCGTTTTATCAATACAGAGTAATTATTTTAGAATAAGACACTCAATATGTATTAAATAAATTACAATTTTCTAGTGTCTTTCTTAAAACATTTTTGTTATTATATATGTTATTTTTCAATATCATAAAATGACTGAATATCTTTCTTTTTTAGTATATTCCTAAGCTCTACTTACTTTTGAAACACATATATATGTCTACTCTCAAATTTTAAATTAAAAATTGATAGAGCTTTGAAATAAAGTAAAAAAAGTAAACTTTGAATATTGCCTAATAGTGTAAAACAAAATAAACTAAAGAGTCATCAAAAAGAAAAAGTTTTTCGGCCGAGTCTGCAACCACAAAATAGCATTTTCATGTCTCGTTGAAGTACCGAATAAATTTAGAGTAGTGGGGGAATTATAGATAATAATATACCTAGTATATTAAGAAGCAGTAACAATAATTATAGTGTTTAATATCTGGCTTAAAACAATTCATAGAGCCCTTAAACTATTCATAGAGCCATATATTTGAGCCCTTAAACTATTTTTAATTTATCATTTAGTTCTAATTTGAACGTTTAACGTACAACATATCTCTTATCTCATATATCTTACCCTTATCTTCTAGCCCCTATCTCCCACCCCAATCATTATTCCCACCCCAACCCCCATCTCCGTGTGATAACGCTTTTTTCGTTATTAATTTTTGGTCACACTTTTTTCAAATGTCAAAAATACACGATTGCAATTTTTAAAGAGCAAATTTAAGAATTTTTATTAATGGATCACCCTGTATTAACCAATAGAAAATAACCATGTTCAAAATCGTTTTAGGGCGAATATAAATTTAAAATAAAGGCTGCCAGTGTCTGTGAGCACTTTGAACATGCTAAGTTACAGATAAACTTCTACGTAAGTAGGACAAATGCTACTACATATGTAATGAAGGGCAATTTTACATATTTAATTCCATTTGACGATTCTATGTCCGTAAGTACTTTTGTTTTTTTTTTAATAATAATTTAATTTTTTTTAAATGTATATTTTTTATATTTGAACATTTAAGCTTCGACGGGTATCGTTTTTGTTACTTTTACTATCTAAAATTACAAGTTCTTTTATGATGTTTAATAATTTTGATATGTATAATAAATGTAATGATTCATTACGTACATTCTAAAGAGCGACTGTTTAAAATAACATATTACTATCACTTTAATTGAAATTTAAAGAATTTATATTAGCACTATAAATCATCTATAAATTCGCCTCGAAGCGTATTTTTAAAGTGATTTTATATTACATTCAGTGATAATCAGTCAGGTAGACAAGTAAACTCCCCTCTCCACCATGGTCCTACCTTAATATACTGTTTTTTTAAAATATATATTTTAAAGCTGTTTATACTTTACAGCTTACCCTGAGTTTTGCTAAAAGAGGCTCTATTGGAGGTTGGGCTGAAAATTTTCACATTTACTCGACGCCCAAAGCTTGTTCGAAATTGAATTGGATAATGGGAAGTATATTTTCTGTTTTAAAGAAACAATTTAATTGGACTGGCTGCCCAATAAAACCGGTAATCTTGAACAGATATTTATAATTGAAATATTATCAATTTCATGTGGAATATAAACGTGGTGTACAATTATTAATTCTTATATAATTTTCATACACAGGGAGTTTATGCGACGTCTGAAATCGACATGGAAAAGTTTAAGGATAATAATTTTCCAAAGGTATTTTTCTACGGTGAATATAAATTGAAAATTAGCATCACTAGCAGTATTGGCGAAACACTTGGTTGTAGCAATTATTATGTGGATATTTTACGTCCATGGGAAGTTTAGATGTCACCATAATATTTTGACCGAATGCAACAAAACAAGAAAACACAAAATAAAATTACAATATTCATAAATGAAACAGCTGATGGCATTTTAGTTTAAAATTAGTCGTAATAAATGTTTATAGTTAATTAGGCTGAGAACATTAAGCAAAACATACAATTGAATTTTACAATGATTTTATACCAAGTACTACTTTGGAAACTGAAAATGTTGTCGATAGTTCTGTAGAATCAAGTGAAAATTTAAAAGTAAATTTTGGTCAGTTTGATAAAGGATGATGCGGTTGTCTATCACATTTATTTAAATATAACCTACACATTAAACACAGCATTATTTTATTTATATTTATCATTAAAATCTCTCTCCTGCACTCAAGTAAATTGTGAACGTTCATTTTTAAAATTATTAAAAATAGTAAAAATGGATTGACACATTTAAGTGCCTAGTACAATCAAGAAAGAATGATTAGAATCTTTAATGTTTAATCAGTGTAGATGGTTAGTTAGGTATCGTTTCAGATACGATTCAATGAATTTCACGGTACTAATTGTAAGTAAGTAGGTACATTACTAGTTTTTTAAAAATTCTTTTGGTTTTATTACACCAAAAATATTTGTTATAATTTATAACTAATAGAAGTCATTGATATATTTACATTAAAGGTTTAAACATTTATTTTTTTACCTAATTACTATTTTTTAGATTTATTCCATAACTTTTCCGTTATATCAAAATTCTATTAATCTCAGGTTTTTTTTTTTTAATTTGTGCTAACCATTTGCAAAAATAAAATAATTTATGCTACAGTTAATACTGTATCGTCTTAGATTAAAAGTAAATTAGTTTGGAAAATTTTACCGTTCAACTTGTTACTTGTACCGTACAAAGCCGTTTTTTTGTAATAATAAAATTGATCATAAAGCCGTATTTTAAATAAAAAATTGAATAAGGTAGCAACAAAATAATAATGGTAACAAAAGGCAAATATCCTAACGCTGTATCTACTTTGTGTAGATGAGCTGTTTTTAAATATATGCTTTGTTCAATTTTTTGTTTCTTATTAATGAGAAAAAAAATGGGGAAAGACAGAGACTATTGGCTCGTCAATCTCAATTTTTAGCTATCATAAAAACCTTAAAATTTAATACATTGTAAAATAAGATGACTGAACAAGGTTTGAATGTTCTTTCATACAAGTTATGTATCAGTAACTAAGATTTAGCGATTTTACACAGTTTTGTTGTATCTGTTACAATCACTTTTTTATGATGCATTTGTGTAAAAAAATTTATCTACAAATGAAAAGAATACGCTTGATAAATTTGGTTGTAAACAATTAAATATTCACAATCAGGAATCATCAGGAAATCTTTCATAAACAACCAAAATTTAACAAAAATTATTTTTAAAAAAAAATGTTTATTTTGAAGTTACATGTTAAGCGTATCTCTCTTTTCTATTTGCCGCATGGCTTTCTTTCTCATTCGCTTAATTTTGGCTGGATTTTTAATCTGAAACACAAGTTGTTTAATAATTTAGTAAAATATAATAAAAAAATCGAACAATGTCTTTATCAAGTAAGAGAATACATTTCAAAAACTCTTAAGGGTTAATATTAATTTTGTTTGCATTTAAATAAAACAACACATATCTAAAAACCTCTTAATAAATTGTAAAATTGTAAATTAAAACTAAAAAATATCAAACATTTCTATTCAAAACAAATAAAAAAGTTTTACTAAAATTATTAATTTGGCAAGAACAATTTTTAAAATAATCACACTTATTAGGTTGGTTATAAAAAAATAGATAAAAAAGTTTTGTAAGACACATTGCCAATCTTGAAATTGGCAATGTAAAAATATAAAAAGATACATAAAAGATATCGATGGTTACACGGCAAAAGGGTCTAAGCGACATTTTCCATAGTTTTCAGGAGCAAACATTTTTTAGTGTTTTTATCCAAATTTTTTTAAATAGCAATAACCAGAATAAATTCTTGAATATATTATTATTATGTATAACATTAGAATTTATTCAGGTTATTGCTATTTAAAAAAAAAATTATATAAAATCTCTAAAAAATGTTTGCTCCTGAAAACTATGGAAAATGTCGCTTAGACCCTTTTGCCGTGTAACCTTTGATATATAGATTTATATAAGATATATAAAAATATAAAATAGATATATAAAAAGTTTAATTCATTTCTTTTTTTATTATTAGCATTATTTATGTACCTAAAAAACAATATAAAATATAATAAACTAGTTCAATAAGTTTTTTAACCATAGTAATAAAATACCCAAATTATTGAAAGTGTTTAAATGTAAATAAAAACAATAACAGATAGATTAATTCATACCACTTGAACTATTTCTGATTTCTTCTGATTTTCCGCACGGCGTTTAATATTCTCACGCCGCCTTTCTTTTCTCGCTTCGTTTTCAGCGTTTCTCTCGTTAATTAAGGCTCTTGACAGTTCTCTCGTTTTTTTTATATCTGCTCTCAAATGTTGTTTACGCTCGAAAGACAGCTTGAGGCCTTTTGTTTTGTTAATAGAAGAAAACCTAAAAATCGTTATTCAACTATAATTATCATATCTGAAAAATACATTTAAGTGAGCCGCAACTATTGGGAGGGCGTAGGACGTTTTCGTTGTCCACTATTTTTGGAGGCTTAGAGCCAACTCTGAACGTTTGAAAATAATATGTGTAGCTTGCAAGGAAATGTGTGATAGGTACGTCCGGTTGTACCCAAGTTGCGGCACACAATGTTTTGTAAAATATTATCATAACGCTGAATTACTTGGTTTTTGGCGTTTTCCAAAATCTTCCAGACTTTGGCATGCCGCGTACCGATTTGTCCTGTTCTGCCATATCTATTTGCTTTAAAATTTAAATTAACTTATTACTTACTTAACTTATTGTTCACTCGACGTATCTCACGTAAGTCGTCAACAGTAAAAACTAAAAACACGTGCCAAACAATATAATCATCGCGTTAAGTGATAACATCACTTTATCAGTCAAAACATTCTTATCAATATTAGATAACTGATATGATGACGTTATCATATTTTGGTAAACCTTAGTCTTTTTCTTTACTTTTCATTGACACTCTAGTCTCTAATTCTCTTCTTTGTAGTATTTTACCGGTAGAATGTAAAATAAAGTATAGTAAATAAGACGGTTTGTATAGATCCTTAGGAAAACTCATATGTTTTGCAAACGGTAGGTACGTCGTCTGCGTATCGTTTGGATAATTTTGGAGATTAATTTTAGACTATAAGTACAACCACATAATTAATTGGGGACTGTTATTAATAAATATTGGTTTACAAATAGATCTCCTTAGAACAGCTGTTGTTTGTTTGATGATTACTGGCTGGCTCTATAGTTGTGTACTTTGTGTATTTTAATAGCTGTTTGGATTTACATTTGTAAAATCATTCATATTCGACAACAATTATCATGGTCAAAATATAATTAATTGACATCCTTATTTCCAAGTATACACCTATATAGTAATCTATTATCAATAATCAATTATACAATTTATAACTAACCTTACTCATGTGTTAATTACAGTGATTATCTGTACGATTCATTATTATCTTTTCGACTATAGCTATTTAAAGTTATTATTATGATTCACAGATTCAACCAGCTATTATGATTTCTTTATTTTATCGTTATTTACTGTATAATATTTATTTATTAATTGAAGGATTTTTAAATTTCTGAATCTACATAATTTTTTAACACAGCATTAGTAATAAAAAAAAGCTGACTGACCCAAATAAGTAAAATTGGTGTGATTTGTTTTTGTATTCATATCCTAGGTTTTTTTTAATATTGAATAGCATGTTACACAATGTTTGATTACATCTATTAATGAGCACTCAAAGTAAATGTAATTTACAAGCAACTAAAAAAATATTTTTAAAACAATTATTCCAAGTTATGAACCAGTCTCATTTGTATTTATGATTATTAGTTATATTGCTAGTTACGTCAAATTAAGTAGAACGGTTAACCATTTAAATAATTCATTAGAAGAATTAGATAATTAATATGGTGTAAAGATGTGTACAGTAACCAATTCTTCTGTAACTAATTACAATACAGCAAAGTAGATACAATGACTCTTCATAAGTCTGTCAACTAAATTGTCAAAAGCACTTGTTGTTTAAATAATAAAGTAGGTAAATGTTGTGATAATCCGTAAGGTGTGGTTGTTTATGTTGAAATTTGTAAATTTATCGAATTTGTGATAAATACAGATTGTAAACAATGTCTGGTCAATGTACTTATTGACCAAGTTATTTAAGTTGCTGGTAACGTAAATAGTTTTTGTGCGTGTCCAATAGACATGGTTCATGTTGGTTATTAAAATATTATTGTATTATGTAATGTTGCATAATAATATAGTTAATAATGATTTTATGTATTACATATTTGATTTATTTATTATTTTTTTTTTTTTTAACAAAAAGAACAATTTACTTTTTTAACAGAGCCAAACTAATATTTTTATACTTAATGTCTTAAATATCAATAAGTTTAATTAATTTTTATCAAGTTAATCCTTCATTGTGTTTTTTTAGCTCCTTAGAACATGATAGAGTAATAAAACCATCGCTACTCATGCTCGAAGTTTAAAGTTGCTTAATACTTGCATTGAAAAAATAATAGTTTTTACATTGTAGGCCTTAACATAATTGTCTTACAATAATTTCCTTAATTATAAAAATAATGAAGACATTCGGATTTCATTTCACCCAACTTTATTAATAATATTTCAACTGAAACAATATCAAGTTATGTAATTGCCAATCAGTATAGTTAATGAACCACTCGTTTATCGGTGATTATAACTTAACAGATATCAGATTCCTATTGGTTGTGTTATTTAATACAAATAATTCATTCTCTCTTAAACTATCCTAATCTCTAGAAACATTATCTCTAAAATTAAAACTGAACAATTGAATAATTATAATATGAAATGTCAAATTTTATTTGTGAATAATATTACAAAACTATTAGTGTTTAATAAAACAAACAAAAAGCAGAAAATCGACTGCTATAGCCTTAATATTTTATAGTGTAATACACTATAAATCATATTATACCTATATGGTGTATTTATAGTGCATAAATTGTTTTAAATGTACTTTAATTGTACAATATCCAAAATATTATGCAAAAAATGACTTAGATTATTTTGTAAAAAATCGTAAACTCGTATAAAAAATATATATACACAATAATTTGGCCTATATTATTACAATAAAAAAGTTTTTCTTTAATTTTAAAATTTTGCAAATGTTTTAAAGATTTTTATTTAACTGGTAGGTACTAATTATCTTTTAAAAAAAACAGATTGTGTCGCGATCTCTTACAAATATAATAATAATTATGCTTACATTAAAAAAAAATAAAAAATATAACAAAATAATAAAAAAAAAAAATCAAATAAAGTGTTGCTTTTGGGTGGCTTCCTAATCAAGTCTATTATAGTTCTATTATACACCATAATCTTATCTTACAAACATACCTATTGTGCGTTGTGTGTAGAGATTGTTTTCCTCAAATAAAAATAAAAAATAATCGAAATTTATCTTAAATACTTTTCAGAATTTTGTCGTATATAATATTCATGCACATTGTATAAAACAAATATTTGAATAGTATTTTAGATACTTTACGCCTACTATACCTACAGGTACTTAAAAAAATAATTTTTATGACACTAAATAATATTACATGACGTGCATACCCACAAAACGTGTGTCATGTGTAGTTTATTTTATTAGGTAGGTGCCTGAATACTGTTTGTATATACTGGCCAATATTTTCTATACCTAGATTAACATTACCTATAACGCGTAGGTACTGTTGGAAGTCCTAACCACTGAAATAATATGGTGAAATCACATTGTTAAACGGATACAGTACCCATGTTCCCTTTATAGAGAGTCCTGTAGGATTTACCTATATAACAGACACCCAAACGGCTTTCTCGTTTTTAGGTAGGTATTTCAATAGATAAACAGATATTCCTAGGAACCGTAGAAATAAAACAAGATGTCAAAACTTCATCCCCAAACAATTTAAAAAAAAAAACCCGGTTTGGGGTAGTTTCGAGACAGTTATACTAGTTTGTAAAATTGTCTACAATTAATTTCGAATTTATTTTAAATTATTCCCTAAATTTAGAACTGACTTCAGAATACAAATTTAGAGTTAATGGTAGTTTTGTTTGGACACAAAAGAAAATTAGAAAATTCTAATTTTTATTTGGTAAGTTATTGTTATAACATTGAAAGCATTATAATAATGAAAAAGTTATGTGCTATTCAATGTGATATCTTTGTAGTGTTCCACTCTCGTAATTTTCCAGGTTTATAAAAAATTCTAGTTTTTTTTACAAAATAATCAAATAATCTTATTTGTTTGACGAATCTTATCCACGTTATCCCATAGAGTAGTAGTTCAATGACTTTTAGCTCCACTTGAAAGTTGAAAGACCCTCCTATTGCTGCTACAACCGTAATGTTATCTAACCAGTTAATATTATTTAGGCATGTAAAATCTTAAATAAAATTCACTTATATAGATATATATTTATATGTATATAGGTGTGAGTGTGTGTATTTCTATAATGTCTACTACCTATATTATGTGTTAATTAGTGATTATAATCTGCGGTTCTCACGCATGTTATATTTCAGTGTATGCAACATCTAATTAAAATTAAATAAATTATATTTTATACATAACTGCCGATTATTAGATTTTTTTATCTAGGCATAGCCTGTTTTAATTTTAAAAAAAATATATTTGAAAATAATCTCCCTGCGAAATAACCAGATGGGATTCTACTGATTTCAACAATAAATTATTGAATATTATTTTTTGTTGTGAGCAAACAATTTCTAAACAATTGAAAAATAGTATTTACATTTCGTTTAAATAGGCCACTTCAGCATTCTTAAAATTATTTTATAATTTGTTACAAATTATAATTTCTACATACTACAAATAAAAGGAATAGGCAACAGTATTTGGTTGGGTTATCTGGTAAATGCCCATTTGCTCATGTACATATTTGTTCAGTGTTATAACAATACAAATAATAGATATAAATGATTACACCACAAGTTGTGTTTTAAAACTGCGTTTCATGCTTTTGACCCCGAAATGTTTGTCAATTGACCCGAAGACCGGAGAACGGGTCAATTGTCAAATTGGTTTCGTCGTTTAATTTAATAGGTTTTTATGAATTATATATTATGTTTATCTATATCGAACCGCACAATCGGTTTGATTTATTAAAATAACAATACATAATAAGACGGGTATAATATTTGTACAAGTACAAGAAATCTATTCAGAGATGATCGAAGTACTTAACTGTTGGCTGGTGTTTGAACTATGAAACACAAAAAGTAGTATGTACAACTAATAGTAATATTAAAATAAATATAAAGAGCGTATATTATGTATTGTATTTAAACATTTACATATTGACATGATATATTCTTTTTCACAAAATACAGGGATCTAGGAATTACAAAAATTCACGTCATACGAAATAGTCATAGATTTAAAGTTTACATAGTAAAAAAAAAGTACACATTCCAACATTTGATATTATAAGAAATACAATTTTAGTACATAAGAGAGGGTACCTATAGCCTCTCCCTTCGACCCTCCTTATATGAACCCCTGAATTGCTATGAATAATATGTGAAATAATAATTAAATTTTCCATTTTTTTTCGATCAATTTTTTCGGCACGTTAGTTTAATTATTCCATTGTAATTTGTAAAAGAAAAAAATACTAGTATTAGAACCATTACTAGTATTTTCAATGTACCACCCCCACCCCTCCCCCGACATTTTTTCGTGTTCCGTACATTTTATATTATTATATCGGAGCCCAAGTATGCGGTATTGTTTTTTTTTTGTTTTGACACAATTTGTGGTAATTTATTATTATTCATTATTACCGAGGCGCGGCATAGCGCTGATCATTGATAAGAGACTACGGCTGTTGCTGATAACGCGGCATCGGCATCGTTGACCGTGGGATTTTGGGAACCAATGAACCGTCTCTTATCACCCGCCGCCGCCGCCGCCTGGCCAAACGCGCATTGCCGCATTACGGTCCCGTGATTATTGCATGTGCCATATATATATATATATATGCTTGTGTATAACACAGTAGTAATAATGTACAGTGGAATTATAGCAACTACGCTCCGACGTTCACATTTCACGTTTCAGCATACTACGGGTTCTATATAATAATAATAATATAAATTATAATCTATATATCTATATATATATATATGCGTTTCGGGCTTCGAGTCTGTTGCCGCCGCGTTGTTGAATCATTTCCCACGTAGTGCGCGCACACCGCCGCATCGCACGCACATATGTTTTTTCCGTTTGAAAAATAATAATAATATGTACAATGCAGATAAACGCGATAACAACAAATAATAATAATCGAATTGTAACATAAAAAAATATATATGTATATACACCTATACATATAGAATTTTATTATTATTATTATTATTTTTTTACATCATTAATCGCTTCTTTTTTTTTCAATTTTGTTATCACAACAACCATTTTTTTTTTTTAATATACCCATATATAATAATATAATATAAAAATTATTATATATTGTAATATATTATTTTTATTACCGTATAGTTCGTTTTTTCGTTTTTTTTTTGCTGTTTTTCAAACGACCGTCCGGTCCGGATCGTTTATTCTGCCGACAAGAGGAGAGTGTTTGTTTTTTTTCGAATATTGTCCTTCGTTTGTTTGTACTTTCTGTTTTTTTTTTCTAAAATTTTTTTAACGCGATAATAATTACAAAAATACATTATACATAACAATCATGAAAAAACACGGTCGACCCGTCATCTTTCGTCGATACCGTTGTCATTAAAATTAGTATCTAATCGGCGAAAACGACGGTCGGGTTAGGTTCAGCCACTGGCTTTGTGTGTTTACATTATGTTAAATTTGAAATATTAATAATATACCAATTATTAATATCTCTGTCAGCCGCTCGGCCGCCTAGAATAACGAAAAGCCACCGACCTGTACCTGCTGGAAAAGAAGAATTAACAAAATAACCCCAATGACAAGAGCTGTCCGACCAACTACGCTTTGACGACGTTTCATCATCGTTCCACGTCTGTGATACAAGTTTTTATACGTTTCGATTTTCCACTCTCTTGTTAATTTTTTTTTGAGAAATAAGTTGTTTTCTTTCCGTGGAAAAAAATTGTCTACCGTCTTCCCTCTACGACGTATCGCCAGCCGAATTACCATTTACAAAAACCGAGTTTGCAGCACTCACTTTGTAGTCTGTCGTCTATTTATATAAATATATATATATATATATATATATGTCTTCTGTTTGGTTCACCGGTCGCCTACAACAAATATCGTAATATGTCTGTCAAAGATGGACCCGTCGTCAAAATGGATGTGGACTGCCCGTCGAGCCTGAAGCGATCTAACAGCGCTCCAATGATCAACGACATTAATAACACAATCACTGCATCATCAGGCACTCCGTTGTCTAGGTAATACACACTGTAATTCATAAGTACCGCTCATTGTTTATGTATTTCAAAACTAATATTTTTATTCGTACGGTTTGTTTTTACAACCCGAGTGCAATCATTTTAAAAATAATGGGTGCTTTTACTACATGTGTATTATTACTGTCTTAACTAGTGGCAAAGCGTCATAAGAGACGACAGCATAATGATGTCTACCCACATAGAAAGTGGGAAAAAGAAAACAAATATTTATATTTGTACAACAATTTTTAGTTGAGATAATTTTTACTAGTCATTGCGACTCTTAAGACTTACCATTTTGCCACTGATCATACCTATTTGTTTGCCTAATAGTTGTTTTACTTTTGTTACAGAGAAAATCAATGTAATGTATTTCTTAAAACTGTACAACCTCGGTTCCGTAGATTTAGTACGAGTGGGAGTCCAAATATAATTCCTCATGTAAGTTATTATATTGTGTACGAATACCTACTTAAATTTATTTTACTAACAACCTTAAGATTACAGTACCCTTATAATTATTTAATAATTCATAATGAATACACATATAACCAGTAGGCACAATTTACAATTTCATAACTAACTAAAACCGTCTCTTTAACTAGCTAAAACAAACATTAACTATTGAAATTTTCAAAATAATTATAATAAATACAAAAGTGATAAATGTAACTTGTAATAGTACGTTGCTATTGTATTATGTATATATTTTGAGTAATTGGTTTTATGTTATTGTTTTATTAAATAATTCATCAACTTTATATTTTTTATATTATGCTTAGAAAACACATTTTTATTGTAATAATACTTTAAGATTATGTATGTGTATTGTAGTTAACAAAAAATACATAATATATTAAATTACTATTTTTTTTGAAAATGGTTTAACATAATTACATTTTTTTATTTCAGACTTCTCCAAAATTAGTGCACCGAGTTAATCAGTTGCGACAAGAAGAAACTATCGACTTGATTAACCGTGAAGTGGCTCATGAGAGAGAAATACACTCGGCAATGCAAATATCACAATCTTGGGAAGATCTCTCAATCATGATAGATTCGCCTTCAAAAGTAATTAATATAGTTAAGTCAAACTTAGTTGAAATTGTATAAAAAAGGTTTACATAAAACATAATTTTAAACAAACTTTTATTATTATTATTATTTTTAATATATTTAGACAAAAACAAAAATAATAATAATAACTTGTATAAAAGAATTATCTAAATAAAAACCATAAATTATTAAATCATTATTTCAAAAAATAATTTTAAGTAACATTTTATTTTAATCAGTCAATATAGCATAAAAATTGTATTTGAAATAAATTAACATTTTTTACAAATGATTATGTTGATCGACGTGAACTGTATATTATATGATATTTTATGAGGTTTACATAAATTATTAGTTATCATAAAAAATAAAATAAAACTGTTCATTTTTAGGTAGATGGGGATGGACAATATGGAAAACCTACCGGCAGATCTAATCTGTACGATCCTTTGCATTTAAATTTATCTATGGCCTCAGCTCCGTCTTCACCATCACCGACCAGGTCAATGAGGCATTGCGTTTCACCGTCGTTATTTAAGCCGAGCCTGTCGCCAAGTCCTACTCGTAAAACATTTACTTCGGGGTAAATTAATATTAAAAAAAAAAAATATGATCTTTGTCTTTAAATCATTTTGGTTCAAAGTAAAGATTTGCTTACGCCTTACAGTGCAAAGAAAAAAATTCGTAAGTTATAATTTCTGCTAAATCAAATCGAAATAAGTTTTTTCCATCTGGTTTTCTTGTTATTGAACTTGTTTAAAATAACTTATCGGATTTCTGTTTGTATACATTTTGTGTGTAAAAAAAAAATTTCTCTCGTTTTTTTTTATCAAATAATGTAAAAGAGTAGTTTCTTCATTTTTTTTTTTTTGGGGGGGGGGAGGATTTTTGTCAGTTTCTCTATCGTAGTCTTAATTCATGTCATAGCTGTTAATTAATTTTAAAAAATAGTTTAACAATGTTAATACGTTGATGATAACATTGTCAAACACAGTTGTATCCATAATCAGGTCAAATCTATCAAAGATAAATGATGTGGATAATTTACTTAATTTTGAATACGACGTATATTGCTTTCTTTCTTTTTCGCCATCAATACTTTAATTTTCTTGTATTTAATTAGGTCAGTCGATTTTTTGTTTTATTTAATAGCGAAATGCATTAAAGTCTTATACAAATTTAAAGTTTCCAGTAAAAATAAAACTGTTTTAAATATTGTCTTAAATAAACAAAATTTATATTTTTTCTGTTTGTTGGAAATTACTTAACTTGTTCCAAAATCAAGTTTAGATTAAATGATAAACAAAACTTGTCTATAAGCTGTACATTTTTATTGATTGTTTACCAAAGATTATTTGTTGTTATAATTTTCAATTCAGCGTTGAATTATGTTCTGTATAAATGACAAGTTCTTTGTTGGTTTAATTCTATCAGATATTGTACAGGCCATAGCAAGATGTTACAATAACCGTATCCGAATAGAATTTTCTGGATAAAATTTTTTGTGTGTATATTTTTTTTTTTTTTTACGGTTCTGGAACAGATTTAGGTGTTTAATTAAAAAATTTAATTATTCAATTACTTGTTGGTTCATTAGTCACAAATTGGTTTGATATCTTACTGGAGTATTTAACTTAATTAAATAGGCCTAGCGGATTTAGTGGTATGTCGTTGTTTTTTTTTTTTTAATTGACCATTTTATCATCTTGGTATTAATACTTAAAATTACTAAAACTGTATCGGCCTATCAGCTACCTAGCTTTTAAAATGGTAATTTTACGTATAAGACTAGCTATTTCTTTACACGTCCTATTTTGTTATTTGTAGTTGACATAAAATTTTATAAACACTTTAAAAGTGTTTGCACATCATTGTTGATTGGATAAAACCTCAATTAAGTTTTTGTTTTTTTAAATTTGTCTATACCGACCAACCCATTAGAAAATACAAAAATTTGCCATGCGTATTCTTGTAACGTAATTGTGTACAATCGTTTTACTAATTCAAATACCTTTTTATATTGTCTAATTTTAATAAATCAGCTTAAATTGTTGTCTAATAAATTAAAAAAAAAAAAAAAATGACAATTATTATCAAACTGTTTTCTTATGTATGTATTATATTATCGCTAAAATTTTAGTCGAAGCCTGAGCCCTATATCGATGCGACCCAGCTCTCTGGGACCGGTGAAGAGAAAGTGCGAAATGGACGATTACGAACCGATAACGAAGAAATGGGGTTTACTGATTACCAACACTAGGTGAGTGATAGCTATAATATTATATTTTGTTTGTTGTCTCGTCGATTAACATCTAAATTAATTTGTTTTATTTTTTAATTTAGACCCGAACCGATGCAAGTGTCTGGTCTTGTTCCTACAACGATGGATGCTACCTTAGTCACTGAATCCATATGCAGTAGTAGTGGCGACTCATCCAATAGTAACCATTCTTTTTCGTTTAGGCCGCTGCAAACACTCATGGACGAATCAAAAACAAACTCCCAATAACTTATTACGATAAATTATATACCTACCCGTATGAGTTTTTATCATCTCTATTAACGCAATAGATATTTCCCCCGTATTTTTAATGTTGAACCATTATTATGATTTTGTTTTTTGGCTATTATTATTATTATAATTATTATTATTATTATTATTATTATTATAACCATGATTATTATTATAATATTATCATTATTGTCATGACGCTTGTTTAATAAAAAAAAAAAAAAAAATCTAGACGTAACGCGAATAAAATTGTTGTTGTTGACTAGTCCGTCGTTGTACATAATATTACTGTTATATATATATAAACTAGTGTTTTAAAATGAACTTGTTTTCAATCGAAAACAAATTTTGATCTAACCAAATTATTGTAACGAACAAAATAACCGTACGCGACCGATTCATCTGCATTCGAATTATATTTAATTTATAAAATCGTCTCTCGACATTTTTAATTTGTTAGAAAATTACATATATATTTGTTTACTGTGATGTGTGATAAGTTCAGTAAGTTGAAGTTTATATAGGTTTTACATAATATTGCTGAAGTCATATAACATTTGTAAAACAAAACACAACCGGCATGTGTCGTTTTTTTTTTTTTTAAATTACTGTTCTTTTTTTCACTTGATTAAAACCGTCACAAACATTGTAGTTAAATAATAATTATATAGGTATAATCCTGTATTATATAACTGCTAGGTTTTTGATTTTTTTTTTTTTAACATAATACTTATGACCAGAATTTTGTTGTTGTTTATTTTTTTTTTTTACTCAAATGACATAACTGTATTAATTAATTACATTTACTTACCAATACTGTGAAATGTTAATCAGTAATGGGTTTACATTAGTTTTTTCCCCCCACAAAGACTGCTGTGAATGTTAATTTAATTTTTTTTTGCATTACCTACATAATACTGTGTTAACTATTTAGTTAAACAGCTTACCGTTGGCAATAAACAAACGGACTCGAGCGACAGCTGTTATAAATATAAATGTTAAATCACTCCATGTTTTTCTAGTGCAATAAAAAACCGTTTTGAAAAATGATGTACTTATATATTTTTTTATTTTCATAAAGTTATTATCTAAAAACCTAAGTACTGCTAGAACATTTTTTTTTAAATTTTCCTTCATTTTGTTACCAGTATAAATGTAATAAAAACACTTTTGTATACAGATGAAACATTTTTTTTTAACTCGAATAAAATTATTCATTTAGGTCTCTTAAAACATTTAAAGATTATTATTTTAAATTTAATAATTATCATTATAAAATACAGTTCCTTTTTAGTATCATAAGACTACCTCATATTGTAATATAACCGAATAATAACTTAATTATTACTATAGCTATTAAAAAAAACATAAAAACGAGTTACTACATTGGTATTTTTATACAAAAGTTGTATTTTTTTTTCTAACAAAAAACATACTTTTTTAATTTTAAAGCAGTTTTTAAAGATTTTATTCACGTTTAAAAAAAAATTGTTTGATGATATAGTTGCTCTTTTGAGTATTTTTCAGAGAATTTTAATCCGCGGACCGCGACCAAATAATAATGTATACAATTTGTTAATATATTGAAACAAAATTTGGAAACACAGTAAACAAGCACCAAAAATGAGTTAAAAATTGTTTTTCAGAAATTAATAATTATTTTCTATGTTTCTAATGGTTGGTTTATGATATATTTTGTCAGTCTTAGACTTTAACCGTCTGTTTTAGCCTCTGTTCGAAAAACCTCGTCAAGATTGAACGATTGAGCTGTTGCTGTTATGAATATTTTCATTTTTTAATGCTTTATATTTTAATCTAATCAAATCAGTATGCGCGGGCTTGGGCTTAATGATATGAATAATATCGTTGAGTAAAAATTGTAGAATCTAATCCTACTTGATAATATTTATGTGTCCTTGAAATAATTATTGCACACATATTGTAACTAATTGTAATCTAAGCTAGTCACGTCATCATAAGTTGAAATAAAAAATGTAAATAATAATTGTCCACTTGTAAACGGAAATCCATATCAACAATATTATTAATAAGTCATCCATTTTTGACCTGAATAAACACAGAAACAGGCAAAATACTACTTTACTTTTGGTAGAATGAAAATACAAATTAGTACGATAACGATGTTTTAGAAGTTATTGTTCTCAATTCACATTTTTTTTGTTTAAAACTATAAATTAATTTTATAAACATAAACAAATTGATTCAATACAGCTAATAAACGTGCCTAGTTTAACTTGGGCAAGTCTACTTAATGTAATAACTGTGATTCAATCTGACGTTTGCCAGCCGCGAATACACCTGTCACTTTTGATCTAAACGAAAAAGAAGAAAATCGCACAAAGCTGACGTTAATCGTGCTCGAGAAATGTGTGTGTCCTAAAGAGAGAATCATATTGCGGACAAAGCAGAGGTAACTTATGCGATGTGAGGGTTTTTTTTTTTGGCTTTTGTTATATATTTTTTGAAAATAATTTTATTTTAAATCCGTTTTAAATTTTGATCACAATATCGTTTTTTCGGGCGTTAAGTAATGGCAAGTATTCGGTTATATATACTGTCTTATATAACCGAATCGTACGGTCCGGTTACGCGTTGGATGTTGTCGGCGTGCAGTCTCCGGACCGTCTGCACCACCATGTCGTCGAAATCGGTTTCCAACAGGAACTTCAGCAGGTACTTCATGCCCTTTTCGGCGTCCCCGTTACCGAAACAATACTCGGCGTTTATCAGACACTTCAGCCCGTACGGGTAACCGTCCCGGCTGTGCAACAGGGTGGACAGCTGACAGACCCTGTGTATTCCGGCGGTGGTCATGCCGGCCGACGTGTGTTGGCCGCCGTCGTCGTCGTCGTCCACGTCGTCCACGTCGTAGTCGTCGCCTCGGACGTTGTCGCGGTCGTCGTCGTCGCTGTACTCCGATTCGCTGTCTCCCGTCGAGGCGTCCAAAACCGTCGGCCTGGACGCCGTCCAATCGTCCGGGCGGTTGTACGCGCGCTCTTTGAACACGTCCGCCAGCGTCTCGGAAGCGTCCGGCGTCCACGTTTCGGCAGCGGCGGTGGCCGGCACTCGTTTCTTCGGCGCACGGTGGCCGCCGGCTTTGTCGGCCGTCAGATACCGTATGCCGCCGAACAACAGGGTCACGGCCAGCTGCAAAATGATTTCCAAGCTGCTTTCGAACACGGTGGGCGGTATGAGACAGTTAAAAGAAGAGTCCATATTGTTTTCTTAATTTTTATATGTCTTGTTGAATTTATCGTTCTCGTTTCTTCTTGTATGTGTTGATGTTTCTCCTCTCCTAGTTATTAAAAAAAAAAAAATAAAAATAATAACACCATAGTGTGTGTGCTAGGCGCCAGCGAGTGGTTGTTTGGTCGTTAACGATTGTTTTTTAACAGTTACTTTCGAAAACGGTATATTCTCTTTGGCCAGTATTGGTGTGTGACTTAGTACACCCAGATTTTTAAGAAAAACCCAATATTTTCAAAGACATTGGACCGTAAACGTGTCTTATACCGGTGCTACGCTTATAACTATGTGACGGATGTATGTCATGATGTCATACTAACTTAATCATATTTAAGTTAATAATAATTTTGCAGTTACTAAACAGTTAATAGACGTTGTAATACTTCTAAACATTTCACATTTTAGTCACACGGCAAAATTGTAGTACATTTAAAAATAAACGATATCACATAAGATAAAAATCACTGTAGTAATATAGTTGAGGACGAATTGAATCTGATTTTGAACAACAGCCATACACACAAGGTAAATATAAAGAGGGAGGGGGCTATATCTCAAGCACCTCCCTTATGTACTTTATAAATATACATTTTTTTTTTACTATCTACTATTTTTATACTTTTTAATCTAATCACCAGCCACTCGAATTTTAATAGGTACATAAATCGTTTCTGATCTAACAGATAACTAGACACACTACAGTTAATTAGTTAGCTTGGAAAATATTTTCTTAAACCTAGGTATGAATTCTGATAGCTAGTTATAGGTACTATGAATTATAACGACATTACTTTAAGACACTATGCGTTGGCCCGACACCTTCTCGGAATCGCTGTGCACTGACTTCCACATACCGTGGACGGCGTGTAGGATTAGGAGATTAATTCGACCAATATAATAATCTACCCATATAATATAGGTACTACGTTTGAAAAAGTTTTGTTCCCCATAGGAACACCATACCAGACATATAGCCGACTGATCTCTAAACATTTCTTTCTGTTTACCATTGCTTACCAAGCCCGTGAAGTAAGCAATACCAGATAACAGCAAGCTTTTAGTGATATTTAATTTACTTAAAGTTTAATTAACTTATATATAGCAGATTAATAAATCAATAGATCAAATGTATACAAAACTGACCACATAAAAATCATGAAAGAATTTTATATGCAGTTTTACTAGGTATTACAGTAATTTATTACTGCAAAATGGAAAATGCTTTAAATACTAAAAATAAATAGTGTAAAAAACCGACTGCAAAAGTTAAAACAAATTTGAAATTATATTAGTAATTTTGTAAATTACCCGATTAAATTACAAGTTATATGTAATGACATAGTTTATCCGATTAACGGATGGTTTAAGAATTTTTTAATTTTTAACACCCGTATAAATTATATATTTGAAAAAAAATTCAAAATTTGTTACAACAATATTTATTAACCAATATCGTTTAAAATCTAAATGGTTATTTTCCACTGCAATTTGGAGTCTATGCAACACTTCTGCATTACTTCTAATGCAATTTCCATCTCTTTTCAATTTTTGGTTATTAAAGCGATGTGGTCTGCGAATCTAAGCATTTTCAAACCAATATATGGTTTAATTATTGTTATTACTTTTCCAAAAAAAAGTATAATTCGTTTCTGACACGAAAACACAGTTTAAGTATTATTCATTGAAATAAGAAGAAACCATATTATTTTGATGTGATGTTTTGTAGGCTTGTTCAAACAGTTACCTGATAGTCATATACCATTTGCACTAAATAAGAAATTTATCCAAAACAAAAAACATGTCGTTACCATTGACCTAGATATATTGTTTTAATTGTCTAAAATTTAAACAAAAAAACATTAATAATTTCTATTACTAACGATAGTCCTCCAGTCTATTTCTCAAAATGCTAATAACACCATAAATATTTATACAAAACTTGGTTTTTTACTGGATATTTATGATATATCTAATAAATATTAAAAGAATATACCTATAATATTTTTTTTTTATTCTATCTAGAACGACTTTTTCTCAACGTGTGCAGAACTCTGTACAGAGGCCCAAATTTAGGTTTCCAATTGAAGTACTGGGTGTAAAAACAGAATTATTTATCATTGTTTTTGGCGTTTTATTTTTCTCGGGTTCGTATCGAAGTGAATAACATATGAGTAATAGCCCACACAAAAACAATTTTACAAACTTGGAATTTAGCACACGATAACGTGTTGAAAAGTAATATGAAATCAAAGTACTTTTCAAATTAAAATATGTAGGATTAATTTTCGTACTCTGAATTGTTCTTACAAAAATCTTACTTAAGCCAACCCGATACCAATGTGATTGTGGCCAGCCAGAATATGTTTCTCCACAACTCTCGCTCTCTCACGACACATACAATATAATATATATATATATATTATATATACCTGGTCTCACTAGAAACCAGGCTAAAAAATTGTAAAATAAAATTAAACGAAATAAAATCAGCCCGCGCCACACTGTGTCCTTAAATGAAACTCCCATTTACCAATGCTCTCAAATTAAATATTTAGGCTTAATATTTAACGAGCTCCTAACCTGGTCACCACATTTAAAAGAAAAACGCGAAATAATAGCATTTTTGTAGCTTTTATAATTATTGGATACACTTAAGCTGGTGTTATTTTACAATATTATAAAACTATTACTAAACATTTACCTTTTCTATTTTTGTTTTCACAGCTCGGTATTTTTACAGAAGCGTAGTGCCAGCAGAAATAATAATATTTCACTCCACCCTTCCTCTCGTTCTAAAATTTAATGTTTAATAACTCCCAAAGTAATTAGCCAAAACTGGTTATCGACCGGTAAACTATTCAGAAAATAATTCTCAGTTTAAATAGTAAATTAAATATGTACACAAGTTACTGTTTAAGTTTTTAAAAGTTGATAGGCTTATAGAAAATAATAATAAAAAAAAAGGTTAATGTTTAGTATTTTTACAATATTGTAAAATATGATAACCAAAAATGTTTTCAAAAAAGAAATACTACAAAATTGCAATTAATCTAAAGCGTACTTGTTCCATCTTTAAACCATGACGAAAACATTCGGTTTGAGTTCAATAACATTTTTTTAAATTAATTTTAAAAATACCCATTGCTGCTTTGTGTTTTGCTCAATTTAAAAATATTTAAAACGGCAGAGACCATAAGAGATGGTGGCCGATTTTCAACAAATTAGGGGTTCCGTTTTAGGCCAATACAAACCAATAAGTCATTAATGATAAGACCAGGTGTATAAATTATTTTAATAATTGTTAGAGGGTGAGGATTTTGTATAATTTCGCACATTGGTGCATGTTTTTCAAAAGTTACACGAGTTCAAAAGTAAATAAAGATTTATATGTACGATTTTCTATGAAAGTATTATTTATCGAATTCTCGCCTAAGCATTGACTCGAAAACACAATTTTTTTTACTATAGAAAAACACTTGGGTTGTTCGATGTGCGTTCCCATTTCCACTGTTTACATAAACTGAAATACACGAATCGAAAAATTCAAGGTCTTAAGAAATTCATGGCCAACCCGACTTATTGACGACTTTCTAGAATAATAAAAAAAAACATTTTACGTGAATTGTTTTTGGGTTTTTTTTGTAATACAGTGTTATTTCAAGGTCATTGTAATTTTTGCCCCTTCGGCAAGAGGATTTTAGGGAAGGGTGATTTTGCAATATCTTACAGCAACTTGTATGAATAATAAATTTAGAAATTTATGTTAATCTATTTTTTGTTTTTTAGTAAAATACAATTTGATTGGACTTTGAAGTTTATGATATGATTTATTTTTTAACATTCATTATTTTATGGTCAAATTTATGCCGGTTTCAATAATTTTTATTTTTTAGAACCAATGAGTATCTTGTTCATCAGAAATTTCCATTTGCCAATGACCTTGACGGCGGTATTACTATGATAAAATTGCAAATTCCATAAATTATAAACTATATTGAACTATCGTTATGGTTTGACTATGTACTTGACCATCTAAAGTATGTTGTTACTTAATATATTATAATATAATATTTGTAATTGAAATGGCCATTAATTAAAAAAAAAATGTAAATGAATAGTTATTACATTATTCAATAATATTTTTATAAGTTTTTGACTAAAACAAGTATCTCGAAACCTCAGAAATGTTGTACTGTTCTGCTTGTAACTAAGAACGTATTCAACCTATCAATATGTTAATTTACTCGATCCAATCTACACAACTTTCTCAATCTACTGATATTTCATACGTTCATTTCTGTCCAGCCCACAAAATCATTCCGAAATTTATGGTAAAATTTACACGCGTTTAATGGGATTGCGGTGCTTTGTGTATAGTATACACGGCGATGTGCGCTCGCTATTTTTATAACGTTTTTTTATTATTATAATTATAACGTTTTTATGAACACACAATCTTGTTTGTCGTTCCGGGTGGAATCTTGCAACTCAAATTCCGAGTACTTCCCAATTAGCTATCCGGCTGAAATTTTCAGTGTAGCTCACAATTCGATGACAATGCATTATTAATCCACAAAAGGTTGAAAATTTCACCCCTAAGAGGGTTAAAATGGGGTCGATTTCTTGTCCGTCGTTCCGGGTGGAAATTTGGAATTCAAAAAGACTTATTTCTCACCCGCCAGCAAAAATTATGCGTGCTGCGTTTAGGCGTGAGCGGTACCAGGTTCAAACCCGTTGCCGTCATTACACTTTTCTGCATTTTCTTACAACTTTTATTCAACTTTTATGATAATTTATACAGTAATAAATCTAAAATTATAAGCTTTTAAATTGATTACTCATTTTTATGATAATCCTTCTGACCATGCAGCCTTTTCTAATGTAATCACCGCTTACAGACGAAATGGACGGATTTTATTATATAGTATTGTAATAATATTATTTATATGTAAAATATGTGTAGATAAATATATTATGTATAATAACATGTATATTCATTATATAACGTTGTATATTTAAATATATAGATACGTACACACGAAAACGAAAAAGAACAAAATAATTAAAAAAATTAATCTAAAAATAACGTTTTTATGCGCCTTAAAAAGTATAAAATAACCCTCCGGGGGTCTTGATAACCAAATAGGACAGGTGAACTAGAAAAACATTTTCAGATGTTTTCCTTCATTTACACTATAAGACCTACATTCGTGCCAAACTCACGTTTCTACCTACATGGAACGTGCCTTAAAATTGTGATGATAAGTGCATCAGTGGGTGTGTAACAAAATTTGAAATTCTACCCTAGGTATTGAAAAGGCTTAATATGTGCCGATATTGTCGTAATATATGTGCTATCAACAAGACTCTTATTATAAAATATTCGACATTTCAACTAGTTCTGTTCATCGACTTAATAAAATAAGCCAACAAACAAATTCATTAATAAAATGTTGGCGATATAACATCTGTAAAAATGTTTCATGTGTTAGTTTATGATAGCATTGTTTTTTTTTAAGATTTTCTGACTTTTTCTAATCGAAAAATATTTGGAATAATTAAAATTTTGGGAATTATTATTTTCATTGTTTTGAATATTTGAAGCATTGAATAATTGTATTTTCAACGTTAACCGAAATTGTTCATTGCTAACGAAATATTTTTGCTCGGTCTTTCACAGGTTTTTTAGATCATTTTTGTTATTGTGCAAATAACATTGTCTTAGAGTCCTACTTTCACCAAACTGTGTCTATATTGTCGTCAAAGCACTTGCTAAATAATGTATTATATTATGTTCATTTGCATTTATCTCTGTGTCTTTTAAGGTTGTACATCGTACAATTTACAGGGTCTTTCAAAATAAAACAATTTATTACTTACATACATTATGAAAAAAATCGCTATTATTTTTATAGCAGGCATTATTTTGGAAGCATTTTTCGGTAATATGTAATGAACTATTGTTTTTTACAATAGTTCATTCTTAGGATGATAGCAAAAATATAACAAACGATATATATTTTATAGCTATCTAAGTATAAATAATACCTTTTTTTAAATACACGTGCAGTCCGTTTTATTTTATTACTTATGTTTTTTTGTATTATTTGTTGCATTAGGTGGAAGTTATTCGAATGCCAAAAAAGGTCAGTAAAGACTACTGAGTTATTTCAGGTTTTTTGTAATATATATTGATTTTTTTTTTTTAATAATTCATTTGTGTATAAACACCTCAATTTATATTTCTCGGTTTTACTTTAAATGAAATAAAATTACGAAAACATTATGTTTGTTAAGTATTTACTATGAATAACAAACAATTGCTTATTGCCATAATATTGTAACACTGTTTGAAAGAGAAAGATTGTTTCGACGGCGCGAGAATCTGTTAATTTAATAAATACCGGATTTAACCATTGTGCCGCTGTAAGCCACTAAACAAATTGCCGCCTTATAATATAAATATTTTCTAAGTCTAAAAAATGTTATTAAAGCATACAAATATAGATGTTTCCTTTACTACTAAACAATTGAATGATGTAAAATAAAATTATACAGCTGTCATAAAAATGATACATACATTTCACATGAAAAACTTAATGATAAAAATATGATATAAATCACAATGATAATTAAATCGACTATTGGTACATCCTCTTTTTCATTAATTTCATTTGAATAACTTTCTGAGGAAGTAACATTTTGAACAAAAGTGATGACCGTAGTATAAGTATCCGAGTTTGAACAATTAGCGAACCTTTCTCGTGTAGTGTCAACTTAATTTATAATAATATTAAGTTTATAAAAAGAAACTATTTTTGGGGTTTTTCGCACTAAGTTACTTTGTTTATTTTTTTTTCTATCGCGATTTTTTTATACTGATACCCACTCAGACGTGATCCACCGTCACTCATTTTCCTAAAGATTTTATTAAAAAAGTCACAAATCACAGAAAAAAAAAAAAATTAAATATTCATACAAATTAAGACGTTAACTTTTCATCTACACTAAAAAATTAAACATCGAACACGTGCATTACTATGAAACATCCGAACAAGCGCCCATCCGCGAATGCATCGTCTTATGATTAGGTTTTTGTTAAATATTATATTTTGTGATATTAACATATTTTAGACTTAAAAATAAAAACTGATTTCATGATAAAAGATAAACACACGATTGTCAACCTATGCTATGGTTTTCTAATTTATTACCAATATCTTATTTTATGATCGTCGTATCCTTGTCAAGTCATAAATACAACATGACAATCAGTGGCGGATTTGAGGGGGGGGCGATGGGGCGATCGCCTCCCCCCCTTGGCCCAAGAAAAAAGTGGTTGTAATAATTTTCGACCATTTCAATTAATTTACCAGTTAATTTGTATAAGCTTTATGGTATTATTTTCAATTTAAATCATTTTGTCTATGAGCAAAAGCCATTTTAGTTAATATAATAGTAAATGTTTTGTTCCGTCGCTGAAAACAGATTTGAATTCGTCATGAACTTTTACTTGAGATCAGTCAGCGTACTTTTTATAAAATTTTAAAATCAAATTTGGAAAGGGTTAAAATTAAAATTAAAAGAAGTACCTTGACTGATCCTAAGTAAACTTCACGCCAAATTTAAATCTGTATTCAAATTACTTATCGGATTACTGGTTCGGCCTGTGCGATGGACAAAAAATGATGTGTTTTGACTGAAAAAAAACGGCCAGTATCGAATCCCCTTAAATGTAGATAATATTATTGAAAAATTTGCTAAAGAAAAAAAAAGGCATTGATTTTATATTTTAAATATCTGAGTATTGTACTTTACTTAATTATAAGTATGTATTGAATTTAAACAAATTTGTTGTAGCTATTTTCTATGAAAGTTTATTGGATCAAAATTAAACTGAATTAATAATGATTAACTAAAAAATAACTAATCAAAATAATTAATACATTGTAAAATATTTTGTAGACAATTAATATAACGTAAAAAACAAAAAAGATAATTTTATTAAACCTACAAAAAACGAAAATTCGCCCCTCTTTCTTGGACGATCTCTGGATCCGCCATTAATGACAATAACAAATTGAATAATAATGGAGCAATGCTAATAGGACGATTTATTTTATGATTTTGAAATTGAAAATCCCCTTATAACAATAAATATTACCACTATCCCGTTGATCTAAAAAAATGTATAACTAGTTTCATTTCATGTAGATCTAACTACAAATAAAAAAATATTAAAAATTATTTGCCACCCCTGAGAAATTGCCGCCCTAAACAATAGCTTATAGTGTTTACTTTGAAATACGGCACTGCAGTACTTCACATCATGCATTTAGAACTACACTCCCTAAAGCGGCATTAATTTTGAGAAAATTGTAACTTTCAGATTTTTTCTTTTAGTTACACTATAAGACATACCTTTGTGCTAAACTTCACGTTTCCACTTAAACGGGAAGTGTTTTATAATTCTGATGATGTGTGAGTCAGTAACAAAAATAAAAACTTTGTAACTATCCCCTTTTGAAAAGGCTTTCCATTATGGGCTCAACATTTTACAGTATCCTAAGATACTCGAGCTTAATCTTTGTTAAAAAATGTCAAAAGCTTATCTTAAAAGGAAACACAGGTATGCGGGTTCGAAAAACTGAGTAAAATGGTTTGTGTAAAGATACACTGACATTGCTGGAACTTGGCCTGGCGCATTGCAGTGTTAGTTGGAGTTTTTATGTTGAAGATACAAGTGAGTTGTCCTGAGTAATGATAGTTGTGTCGTCAGCAACATTACGAGGGGGCTCGTTGATTTCGTGGCAATTGATATTAAAGAGTGTTTGTGCTAGTAATTCCTAGATTCTTCTAAATTCTAGATTGGTCCTAGATTCTTAGGGTCCCAAGCTCTAATCCTATGAAACTGGCCGAAATCTGTACATACTCTACTTTGAAACGCTCGATTCAATATAAATGATACGATGATTTTAGGTAATTGATTTGGGAGACCAAGTGATTTCAGTTTAAAAGTCAAGATGTCAGCTATTTGGAACCTTAAGAATTTTTATTCATTAATACTACTATTTTTCAAACCTTTTTTCCACACACATTTAAAATTAGTAAACATTATTTAATCGAGTTAAGTATTTAAAGACTTACTACACATTTTCACACAACATTTTTTACGTGAATATGAAATTATATTGATACCTAATTTTGTTATTTTGATTTTAGACTCAAAAGTTCTGCTATGTCCATACTGTAAGTAAAAAATAAGAATTTACAGCACGAAATTAATTTTGCATTGTTTTTTGTATATTTTTTAAATAAATTTTATACATTTGTACTAAACAACTGTACGTTTAGAGATAACAATTATTTATCAATTTGCTTTTGGTGTTTTACACGACACCATAGCTAAACAAAATGGTTGATAAATAAAAAACATACTATTTTTTTCATGTAAAAGATGCACTACGTTTATTATAAAAGCATGTAAAAATGTACTACAATACTATTTTCTACTTCACATTATGCCAATTTATAGTTAGTTAACAGTAAGTTTATTTGTGTAATTGATTGAACTAGGTGAACAGCCTGTCGTCGTCACAGAGCAAGGAACGTCAATTCCTGAAAGCGGTCAGTATAGCCTATGCAATTAGTAATTACCTAATGGATAATATATATATATATATATATATATATATATATATTATCTAAACTCTAAAGTTAGAAATCATTCTTCATCCTTAACCTAGGCAACCGAAATTAGACCTTTTTTGCCTACTCCTGGTAAAATGTCATCCTGTGGTTTTCATCTAGTGTAAGTCCCAACCAAAATTATTGATTGAATTAGGTCACCAGCCTCTTGTCATAGAAACAGACCTAAATAAACTGCCTACTATCTATGAAGATCAGTATAGCCTATGAAATTAGTAGCTAATGTACCTAATGAATAAATAAATGTAATATATTCAATCTTTAAAGTTAGAAATCATTCATCATGTTTCTCTGAGACAACCGAAGTTAGACCTTTTTTGCCTACTTCTGGTAAAATGTCATACGCTGATACTCATCCAGTGTAAGTCTCAAACACAATTATTAAAGTAAAAATAAAATATTCGACTATCTCGGAGTTTACTGTGAACAATAATTAGGTAAAAAAAAAATAAAAATAGCACATACATTTTAATAATAAAAAAATGATTTCATAATAAATGTAGTACATTAAATGTCTACATATTCTTCGATATGTATTTAAAAAATTAGTCAATTTTTGTAGCGATGGAAATGATAAAAATACATAAAAAAATTCCAATTAAGAATTTTCTAATTTAAGATTAATCGAATGATGAACTAAAATTATTCCAGTAATTCAAAATTATGGATGTTGCGGTATTGTTTTATTATTGTAATCTAAAACATTGTATTCACAATTATGGATTATGTATCCTTTTTTTATTCCTTTTAAACATTGTGTAAAAATAACCCTTTTTTAAATTTAAAATTTAAATGAATTTAAATAATTTAAAAATTATAACAAAATCAGTAATCCTAGATTAATGGATTACTTTAATCCATATTGGATTATTTGTAATCCATTAAGCCAACTACCGTTATACGGGAATAACGGATTATTTTTAATACAAGTAATTTTTGGGGCTGCTTTGGAATTATGCACCTCGTTAAAGTACATTAACACATAATTTTCATATTACATAAGCTAAATAATACTCAAAATGTATAATTTTGTCGACCATTCTAATTTTTATTTTATCGCTATTTTTAGATCGAAAATCGATAGGTTTAATGAAAAGAGGTATGTTTTTATGATCACTTTATACATGTTATCAGTTTCTCCAATTGGGAAATTTCAATGCTTAATTATTAACGTTTGTTTAGTTGTGTGTAATGATCTATTTAATGTCCGTGTAAAATACGTCGAACTTGTCAAATAATTAATAGTTAATGCAATTTTGTTTTAAAAAAGAGATAGAACGCTTTTGTACTCTAGTTAAATGTGAACAAATATTTAATAAGTTTTACACCCATACATAAAGTTATGTAAGTTATGTGCACTATAGGGTGGTATATTTAAGTTTAACATTAGTGTTAATTTTAAGTATAATTATTAATTTTTCTTGTACTTAAAAATTAT